CTACTTATATTGACACAAGTAGTATATGATGTTAGTTGTGAATATAAGGTCTGGCAGCAGAGAGACTAGAGGATCGAGCAGTAAAGAATGGAAACAGGATGCAATTTGTATGAAAATGCAAGAACAATAAAGTTTGAGTCATTTTGAGACAATCGATGGACATTTTGCAAATTAAGCATTTACTTTATGATTGTTAGATTTTATTAACAAGTCCTGTAATTTTGTGTTAAATACATTCGATTGTCCTCACCCTTGTTCGGTTCACTACACTACTACTACCACTACCACTACTACTACTATTAGTACTGAGACTATTAATATCACTCACACAACTACTAATTTTACAACACTTTACGAGTGTTACCCATCAGTCGCTAGTGATTTTTTTATTAAACTAATAAATACTTCTATTTATTCACTCTCTTTTTGAAGTACTTTAGATTTGCTTAATTCACCACTTATTATTCAATCAAACGAATAAATTATCATTACTATATTAACATAGAAACTATAGAGGATTTTTTATGAAATCAGTAAACAAAGTTAATTATTGAATATTATGTTGGGTGTGTGTGTGTATATTGTTGACAAACCAGATACATAAATTCACAAGAGTAAAATTCTTTTAATCAATATTCAATAGAGCAAAAATTAATGGAACGTAAAGAGTTATTTGAATAAAGGCTATGGTTGTTTAAAAGCAATTACAACAGCGGTTAAAATCCCTCTCCCCTTCAATTTCTTTGTTATATATGAAGGTGCCGAGTGCGATTCCGGGTGGGAGTTTGGGTACGTTTTAATATGAAGTCAAATACTGAGAAGTAGCAGATGTCTAAGGCTTCTGAGCTTTAATTTTACCTTATGTGAAATCAACCTATGATGAGTATGACCCTCAAATAATAATCAAATTAAATTATACTACCTTATGACGTTGGTAGATAAAATAGTTGAGGTCTCATTTCAAACGTTATTTTTCAAGGAAATTATTTATCACAAAAGGTTTCAATATTTGGATTGTACATATGGTATCAGAGAAATTATATATCTCATCCCCGATACATATTAATATATTGGCAACTGTTTTTGACATTCATGGTTATTAATTGATAATTGGCGGATTAATTGTTTATGAATACAAAATTAAACAAATAACCTCTTTGAATTTACGTTCCATTACATCTCATTTCGAAAAACAATGCTCTCAAAGGATGGACATACACGACCTGCTAAGCGAGTAATATAATTGAACCAATGACTAAGAAGCTTTGATTATTATAGTATACATATATCATAGGTATATACTGTAATTTGTCTTATCCATATAATGGCATGTAAACTGAGATGTTAAATAGGTAAAGGATTGATTTCAACCAGTTAGAAGCAATTACTAGAAAACTTATCAATTGATGCTGATTGATGCGCACTGCTGAGGAGTCCCATGATAGGACGAAACGGTTGTCCAATGCCTCCAGGTTTTCAATGGTGGTCTAACATCAATCAATTCATAATCTGAATTAAAATACTAGAAAACGTGTTCAACCAACATTCGATCACATCTTAAGATTACAACCAGTATCTTTTACTGCCACTATTATTAAGTTATTCGAGTAGCATTTACATATCTAACATTGGACAAGTGAACTGCAATGTTATATCACAGACTAATGGGTACATCAGTATTAGATCAATATAGAATTTGATTAGCAATTGTGATTATATATAGATATATATCACTGATAGTATCACATAACTAACAATCATTCATTTTCCCTACATCTCTTCACAGATATATCGGTTATTCACATTTATGACGATTTCGAGTTAAAAAAAAGATTGTTTATTCTTATAAGTGATTGTTTATCAGTAAAATCAAAGATTGATTGAATAAATAAAACATAATTCTCCTTTTTTTCTCTATCAATTATTCTCTCTTCAAGTAAATTATATCTTTTTCTCTAGACAAAATACAAATCAAAATAGATCCCTTCTCTTGATTCATGTAATGTATTTCATCATGATTAATTATGTAACATTTTCAATGTATATAAATTCACATTAAATGGTAGTTAGTAGTCATGATAACTGAAGTAGAATAAAAATCTACCATGGATCGATATTTTAAAAAAAATTTTTTTGTAAAAGACCTTTCTGTCATCGACCATGGTAACTGTGGTAAAATGCAATGTAGTTTTAAAGATATTGTAAACTGAGTGTTAATATTTGGTTTATAAAATTCATAAGAAAAGCGAAAACGGTATATATCTATTATTATTATTATTATTATTATTATTATTATTATTAGAGTTGAACTATTTCTCATTTGTTGGGATTTATGCTTCCTCTGTGTGAATTGACTCAATTTAGACAACGAGATCATTATTGGTAATGAAGTTAACATAATATTCGTTGAACAAGTCGGTGAATAACTCAGTTAATTAATTCCAAGGATAATGAGTTAGGGTTTGAAGTGAACTGGGATATAACTGACATATGAAGGTGATAATTTCAAAATAGAATAAAGTACAGGGATTAGTTCTCATTATAAGCTCTTATTCATTTAATGTAAAACACAATATCATTGATGATAGATTTACACAAGAAAAATAACATGAATTACTGTTGAGTCGAGTTAATTTCTAATTAAAGTATCAGATGATAATTGAAGGTATTCGCTTTTTCTATGAACCTTATCAAAGGCAGTGTATAATTATTTTTTGTTTAACTACCCTATTGTATAAAATTCGACTATTAAAATAATATTGAAGATAATTTGGTTACAATTTAAATAAGTCCAATATTTGACCAGACAATCTGATCTGATGGGGATTTGTGGAGATTATAATAATCTTTAGTAGTTGAATTCATGAGTCAATCTAAGCCGGACCATCATCGAAAAACTGGAAGCATTGGAAGGCTGTTGCGTTCTACTATAGGACTTCATCAGTGCGCATTCACGATCCCATAGGCGAGACTCGAACTCAAGATCTTTAGTCTCACGCACGAACGTTTAACATATAGACCACTGAGCCGGTATCTAACGGTGTTGATGTGTAATTTCAGTCTGTCCATGATCTTGCACAACTCTTCACCCATTGTCTGAGGTGAATAACTGTCTCTGCCCAACACGGATCGTACTCTACTGGTCACGGTTTCTCGTTAGAATTCCAAGAAATCTAATATTGAAACTAATCACTAGTGACTAGTCACAAAACGAAAACTTTCAAACACCCAGAAAGCGTAAGTCTGTACCAAACATTTATCTTGTTTTATTTAAATGCTGTATACAATAAAGAAATGAGTCACTCTGCTTGAAGTGTTCTTCAAAAAGAGCCTCAACTTTGGACTGAATTAAACGTATTGTAAATTTAATTACTTTTCTTGAATAGAATTTTAAGTTATAAGATGAAATAAATATAATTCTAGTCATAAACCGAAAATTCAATAGTGCTGTAGTGTGTGCTACTGATGTCGACAGATATAAGTAATATATCAATATATCAATAGAAAGTGAAATGCCTGGTGGCAGAAAGATAAGGAGATCAAAGAAAAGAAAATGAGAACAGTGAGTGATTGGTCTGGAAACGAAGGAACAGTGACCACAACTTTATATGGTTTGATTAATTAATTTCTAGTGGATGCTGATTATGTTCAGACTAACACTACCGATAATGCAATGAAACTAAAAATTTCGAAGTAACTCACCATTAGCATAAGGATTGTGCTTATTCATTGGGTTGAATAAATAACTTTCATCATTGTACGGATGACATTTCTCATGAAAATATTAATTTAGTTAATATATTTTTAAAAAAATTATTCTTTACTAATTCATTTTTGGTGGTTGTTTGAATTCCTTGTTCATGGCTAAGATTGCAATTGATCAGTCTCTTTTTGGCCTATGTGTATACTGAGCGGATCTACTCGATACTACCATTAAGTTAGAAGCACTATAAGCAGAGATGGATGGTGGCTAGCAGCTTATGGGTCCCAAATAGGTCAAAACCCATTAATCTAATCACCATCCATTTTCTCTTTTAGGTATAAACAAATTTAATAATTAGTCAAATATTACATTTGAATAGGTATTATGTTGATATTATATTGAATTAATTTTTAACATAAAATTAACTCGAATCTGGTTGAAACTGACAACGAACTTATCATTTCGATAATGGGTGGGCAATGATAAACTCACTGTGATGTTCTAAATGAACTAATGAAATTATACCTAATTCTCTCATACTGTAAAGAGAGAAAAATGAGTCTTTAAGTTTCAGACGAATTATTTTAATTTCCTTCAGCAGTTATGTAGATAAAATGAAGACTGTGGATCTAACCCATTGCTTTAATTTCAGTCATGTAAATATATCCTGCTCAATCATGATAATCTTTTAGTCATAGAAAAAATTTGATTAAAAATTTATGCTACTTAGTAGTAGTTTAAATTTTATCCTTTAAAAATCAAATTTACAACGACAGTTTTCTTGGGTAAAAGTTTATTCATAAAAAAATGGGGAAATATTAAATTTGCACTTTGATATTAAAAAAAAGAAGAAACCAAAAAAAAATTGTGGTGGTGAATGTTTTTCAGTTCCTAAAACAAACACTGTATATATTATAGGTTATTCATCATTTATTTTATTAAGCATAAACATTGTTATCCTTTATTCAATTCACTAAACAGTAGAATTTATTTTCATTGAACCAATCAAATTTTGGCAAATTTTTCAGTATACAAAATTATTTGCACAAAGTTGTAAGTATGTTTATGATGAATTACGTGAATCTTTTACTTCTAAAGGATATGTCTAAATAATCTTCACTATATATCTAATTATGTTCTGTCACATTTTTGGATGCACAGTTTGTTTGAGTGTGTGTATTTGTTTTCCCTTGATGGTGTATTCGGGTGACAAGATTTGTATCTCCCATATATATATATATATATATATATATATATATGCACCAAGTGAAACATAAACTGGATGATTGGCAAATATAAACAAACGAACAAGAGATTTGTTTTCACTTTTTCATATATATTATTTTTCCCACAAGACTTAGTTAACATGAAAATACTAGAAGGTTGACTGGAATACTGATCATTCCATATAGTGTAATGGATTCCATGGATAGTAAAACATTGGTCATTTCATGTTAACAAGTGATGAATATTTAAATATTTGAAAAGAATACATATTTATAATAGAGAATAGTATTATGAGAGTAGGATTAAAGATACTTATAATACTACATATAATTACTTTATATATTGTTAATACTCATAATATATCTTTGACTGAATCAATAAACAATGTTAATAATGCAAAATTACCTATAATTGGACCACCAAGAGAGTTAATGCTTGAAATTGCATGTGATCAATTACATCCATGTATTAAAGCATCATGGCTTCCACCGATAGATTATCAACAATATTTGAATAAAAATGACAATACTACTACTAATAATAATAAACATGAATATGACAATAAGAATCAACTTTTAGCTTATAGAATACGTTATCATATTATACATCCAATTGAATTATCCAAAATCAATGTAAATAATCCTAATAATCTAGACAATAAATTATTAACCAAAACAATTGAGAAAAATATTACTGGTTTACAATATACCAGTAATCCAGGTGAACATTGTAAGTTTTAGTAAATGGTTATGTCATCGAAAAAATATTCTTTTTTCAGTCTTGCAGTTATTTGTTTTCTTGTTTACTTTTCTGTTTTTGATAAGGGTTGTGTAATTTAATCATTATTTACTTACTTATTTACTTACTCCTGATAGCCCTCATGGAGGAGCGTAGGCTGACCATCACCATTCTCTATCGTAACTGTTAATAATTTTGTTTGTAAGCTGTAGATTCTTCCTGTTGCTAATATTAAGGTCAACAGTTGATCAATTTATTCTCTGGGGTGGGGGGGAATATATGTAACTTTAATGTATTGACTTCATACCATCACTTAGTCATAAAGTTTTAAGTAAAGTTAAATTGCGATTATCAATAGAATGTGGGACATATGTTTGTTTTTGTTTAACATTCATCAAATGGTTGTACTTGGATCCTCACATGGAGTTTCGAAGTCTATTATCTTTGCCTTCAGAAGCGGAACTTGTTATTCACTAAGGTTTTGAATCGTTCATTATGAGGTGACTTAAAATGTATTTGTTTAAATCATAATACCTTGCTGATACCTTATTAGGCAAAAACGTTACTAGCACAACCGTCTATACGATGATTTCTAAAATTTAAATCGGTAATAATAATTAGACTATCAAGTTATTGTTACATGGAAATAGGTGAAACGTTCGTTTACAGTTCATAAATTTAACAGTAAAAAAATATTATTTCTTCGAAAAAAATATCTTAATAAACTGATTAATATACTTGAATTCATGAGTTAATTGGAGCTAGACCACCATCGAAAACCTAGAAGCACTAAACGGCCGTTTCGTTCTATCATGGGACTCCTCAGCAATGCACACTTACGATCGCGTGCGCAGGATTCGAACCCAGGGCCTTCAGTCTTGCGCGCGAACGTTTAACCTCTAGACGTATGAGCCAGGTTTTTAACGGTGGTTTAACATTCATCGGTTCATAATCTCAATCAGAAACTAAACAATTTCCACAATCCCATATTGATAAAAATAAATAATTGTTTTTATTTGTCTGCTTTTCACATATTTGTTAGTTTTAAATTTGTCTGACTTTAGAAAACAAAATCACTCGTTGGTAAGAAACAAAGAATATGGTTTACATCAGAATGAATGATTTGATATTTCATAGTTTATAACATGGACTTACTTTAACTAGAAACTATTGAAAGGAAGTAAACACTAGATAATTGTGTTACTTTATTATAAGACTATTGGGTATTTACTATCAAAGATCGCGTTGAAAACTGAACCCAACACTATAAGACCTTGGAGAGAGGGCTTGACTTTCTGTCCACTGAATTGATATCCAATAGTTTATATTCTTAACTTTGGTAAATTCGTAAGATCGTGCAATCATTATTAATGGATTGTCCAGTGTTACCTGTTTTCCAGCGGTTGTCTAGCCATAATCAATCTATGTTTTAAACTATAAAGTTTGAAGAATAAGGATTATGATTCACAGCTGATAGTTAGGGTTAGGAATTAAATTTACGGTTTTTCATCATGAACAAGACGCTATTTGGATAAATGGATGAGTACATTTCTCACCAAAATCCAAGACCTGTTATCCTAAATCTGATTGGTTCGTACACAAATTAGAATCTCTCCGGCCAGACGAAACTGATTCATTTCATCATACTTTTAATTTGATATATTCCGGTTCCTTTTCTAGTGAAGGTGATGTAAATTTATGGGTAATTTTAAATAATTCAATTGGAACACTTTTAATTATAAGATATACATTCAAGTAGTGAAATTATCTAAATTGGAAAAGATTATTCCATTTCACGGATTCATATTAAAAAAGGAATATAAATATGACAATATTTTATGAAATTTGACAGTCCAAAAGTGATTCATTGATGACATTGAACAAAGATTGAGCAACAGTGAGAATTAATTAACTGGATTGAATTGATTAGACTCCAACTTATTTTTTGGTGGCCTACTTGAACACATGGGTTACCTGTTTTTGCCAACTAGATATTTCAACAAATTATCTAATTTTGTTTGTTTGAATAGATCATTATGGTTATTAGTCACATAACCTATTCAGGTGCGTTCGTGTAAAGTGTACAACCTTTCATTGCATAAGTTACAAAAAGCTCAATCAGAGATATCGAGGTTTTAGGCAATATGTAGCAAAAAGAATGTTTATTAATTAGATGTCAATTGACTGAACTGTTACCTTCTAACTGGCGATCGTTCAATATTTATCGTCAGGATAGACCATGAAATAAGAAACGGAAACTTGTTGAAATACTTCGTGCTGTGAATTCATTATTGTATCAAAAATATATTATTGAATAAAGCCATTAATAATAATAATAATAATAATAATAATAATAATAATAATAATAAAATGAATTTTATATTTATCAGAGAGAAATGAATGCCATGACCTATATTTTATGTATGGACGTGTGTGAGGAGGAGTTAATAAGATGAAATTCATACGCCTATGGTTGTTATACATTGTAAAGTCTCTTTCGTTCTCTTTATATCAATAGTATGTTCAATCAAATAATGCTTAAACTCTTACAATATTAATGAATACAATAAACATTTTTCATATCTAATTCTACATAATTATTTGTGCTAAATACAAACCATGTTTAATACAAAGGACGAAAAGAGCGTCCTGGATTTCACTGTTAGCCGCTATCCATTTTTGCTTAGAATGCTTGTGAATTAAGGCAATATCGAGGTAATACACACAATATGCACATATGTCAATAAGAGACTGATCGATTCCAGTTCTAAACATCAATTGGAATATTCAAGTAAATAATACCAAACAAATTTAACACTCCCTTGTGTTATAAGTTTCTAGTTACATTTCTAAAAATGATGACTCGAAAGTAAATTTTAAAAAGGAAACACATTTCACTTATCATGCATAATATATCCTTTTAAACTATGTACAATATGTCATCTATCAAAAATAATTGCTATTTTAATCTTTACTTGCCCCCAAATGCCGTGGTACGGTCGAGGATGGGAAAAGTCAGCTCTCCCTCGAAAAATAATCTCACATGGACACGCCTATACAACAACTGTCAAGCAAGTCATACTCAATTCATTCTCGTACCACAGGTGTTGTTAACGAAATCGAGAGGACGAAAAGCGAATGTCTGGCATTTTAACCGGGTTGGTGGATACGGAGAGTCCATCTAAGGGAGTTGAATAACACTAATTTCAAACCAATGGTCCACATGAGATCCATAATCTTGAGGGAATAAATAGCATATGAACCTATTGTTGGTCACCAGCTACCATGGGACTGCTCCACTATCTTTTGGATCAGACCTTTGAGTTGAAGTCTCTTGGTGTGACCCTCTAAGAAAACCACGTGCTTCGGTTTGGGCACCCGGGCAGTTTCACAGCTTACACACAAATCAAGTGACTTGTGTCGTTCATGTATATTTGGTACCTCCTTGTACCAATGTTTATGTGTTTAGAAAAATAATGACTATTATTAAAGCGTCTGATTTTAAAGCTTTCACAATGAACGAAATATTCCTACATCTTATCCTGTGTACGGTGAAGTGTTAGTACATAAGAAATAATATCAAAGAGTAAGAAACTATTGTTTGATCCCTTCTAGTTAATCAAATAACGTCAGCTCATTAAGAAAACTATCTTTGAGTTAAATAGATAGCCAGGTCTAGGACAAAATTCAGCATTCAGGATTATTTGTAATATAATATAATCAGAAGGGGTTTTGTGGAGATTGTAGTAATTTCAACAGTTGAGATCATGAGTCGATTGAAGCTAGACCACCATGGAAAACCTGGAAGCACTGGACGGCCATTTTGTCCTATTGTGATAGTATGTGAATTCAGGATTATTTGTAATATAATATAAGATAAAATCTTTAATGTTGGGATGACTAATATACAGTGTTGATTTAAATAGGTGTATGCGTTAAATGAAATTGTAAGATTAATGATCAGAATAAATATGATTAGCATGAGATGAGAGAGAATAATGTAACTTCATATCAAAAACCATGTAACATATCGAATGGTATGAATTAAGTACGAATTAGTAAATAAGGATGGATACTGAATAAATTTCTTCATGGGTTTACAAATGTCATAACAATAATAATAGCAATCCCGTGAGCGGGATCGTGGATGCGCACTGCTGAGGAGTCCCACAATAGGAGGAAACAGCCGTCCAGTGCTTCCAGATTTTCAATGGTGGTCTAACATCAATCGGTTCATGATCTCAATTAAAAGCTTAGTAATCTCCACAACCTCTATACTGAAAATGATTATTAACTAACTAGGCCAGAAGTTGACCAAAGTCAAGGTAGCTGTTGAAAATATTTCTTCTGGACTCAAAGCTCCAACTTTCTGATCTAGATAGCTATTGCCTCAGACGTCTGAAGGATTCTTAGTTTGACAGATTTAAGTAAATTGCTGCAAACATGATATGTCATTGTAAATTATTGCTCCATGTTGACTGAATGGCCCATTTGTACTAAACGAGCTAGAATCGAGCCTTTAACAGTTTTAAATCCACTGGTATATGGATATAAAATTTAATTATGGTTCTCATAATAATGAAATTTAAAGCTGAAAGCTGATCAAAAGTATTATACTAGTAATGTTCATTATGTAGATTACTTACTTACGCCTGTAACTCCCAATGGAGCATAAGCCGCCGACCAGTATTCTCCAACTCATTCTGTCCTGGGCCTTCCTTTCTAGTTTTATTCAATTGTTGTTCATTCTTCTTATATCTGTCTCCATTTCCCAACGTAGTGTGTTTTTTGGTCTTCCACTTCTCTTTCGATCTTGAGGATTCCATGTGAGGGCTTATCTTGTGACGCATTTGAGTGCTTTCCTCAATGTGTGTCCTATCCACTTCCAGTGCTTCTCCCCGATTTCTTCCTCCGCTTTCAGATTTTCCGTGGTGGTCTAGCTTCAATTGACTCATGAATTCAACTATTAAATTAAAGTTTCATAGAGGCTCACATAAACATGATCATTTATGTTTTGATGGAAAAATCTGTAACGAACGATAAACACTAATGTCGATGCTTCTTAATATATAACACGAAAAGTAGAGATATAAATTAGTTGATGAGTTTGCAAACGTTTGTCAACTAAGGTGGTAAACTATGTGTTATGTATTTCTAGTCACTATCTGGTCGTATGTGTGGTGCTGACCTGCATAAGAATGGGCTAGATAAGGATAAATGTGATCAGAAAAACACATATGAAATTAATAACTACCTAAATGAACCTTGTCAGGAATCACTGATTTTCTGATCTCAGTCCGCTAGGTAACCGCAATGGATGTTTGACTAACATTTGAAGGATAACTTGAAATAATTTTTGATAATTGAATAAATAAATGACTATTCGAGCTTGTATATATTTTACCGACTTGACTAGGCTTTATGGATATGGTATGTTGGCGTTTTTAAAATGAATGGATTGGAAGGTTGTATTCAGTGAATAATATATCAACCTGAGAGCCACTCTCTCTTCTTGTTCACACAGACTGAATCCCAACACTGAACATTTAGAATGTCAGAGTATTATTCGATAACTTGGTTATGCATAATATATGATATTTATCCAAGAAGTGATAGAAATTATAATAATATTAGGTTTTTCGAGGTGATTGACAGGAAACTTTGAACCTAAGTTTATCTCAGTCCTACAGGATGCCATTTGCAAACAGAATAGTTCAGTGGTAATGTCTTACACTGAAGCTAGGTAAAGTGACTCTGAATTCAAAAGGAAGCATACATTTCCTTGATATTACAAGTATGTCTTGTAGTTGAATACAGACTAGCACGAAACTTAGGTCTAGGACTCTTTATGGAAAAACTTAAACCAATGGCTTAATTGCAACTTGATCAACTAAATTCCATTAGAACTGATGCACTAGACAAACATGATGTTGTACACTATTCTCTGATCAATCAGTTGTAATTGTATCTAATTCCTCCCTCCTAGAAATAAATAAGTGTGGAATGTAGACAATTCTAGGTTGGCATACCATTTTTTTCTTAGTCTTAAGTATATGATTAAAAAATTACACATTATAATGAAAAGATTTTTTTCATGGAATTCATAACGAAAGAAAACTTCTCCGCAGAGAAAAAATCCTCTTATTGTTATTGTTTTCCTTTACTCTCCCTTAAAACTATTTGTTACCCTTTTTGAATGTAACACTGAAGCTAATCAAGATTTACATAATGTTTCTTTATATATTTTAAATATTATTATAGTGTTCGGTGTAATATACGAAGTTTCTGTGGCTGGAGTTACTGAGAATGGATATGGTCGAGATGCAATTAGTCGAATAGCTACACCTGAATCAGGTAAGTATCTGTTACATTTGGAAAGTTGAAATTAAAAATAAAACGTTTTTTAATGGTTAGTAAGAAATTACAGTTGATTTGGTGATAATTTTGTACTTTATGCCATGGAGTAAGCTTGTTTAGCTAAATATTAAAAACCAAGAGTTACCGGACAACCATTTTGTACTATTATATGACTTCTCCATAATATAAACCCAAGAATCTACTGGGAACTTTCAAATCTTATTAAGATCTTAAGCCACTGAGTTAGGACCCAATGATATAGTACTACTGACGGAATCGAGATGTAATTCCTCGACTTCTGGGAAGATACCACGACAATTGATGTACAAATGCATCGGGAATGCAATAGATATCGCCAATGGCAATGAGTGACGGTAGTGCAAGAGTGTGAATGGATTGAAATAAGAATTGTAAACCATCGAATCTTGACGCACTTGTCTGAATTTCAGGTACTATCTCCATTACTTGAGGTTTTGGTATTCGATTTATGGTGCTTCCGTACATGTGTATTGCTAAGTCTCCTCCTGGGGGGGAAACAGCTGTTGAGTACTTTTTGATCTTCACTTGTCACCTAACTAGAGTCAGAATGTGATGCAAACTATAAAACATCCTAACTTTATTTGTTTGGTATTTTTTATCATGGTTTCACGAACAACTTTAATCATCTTCTTCCAAGCTGCGACATTCCAGATTTTTAGAAAGTAGTTAATGCAGGTTGAAAGGTAACTCCCTCGAATGTAATGTTTAACAAATTATTCTGATCATCGAATAAGTTACACCATAAGCAGAGATGGGTGGTGGTTAGCGGTGGAATCCAGGAAGCTCATTTCGTCCTACTTGGGACTAGTTGTCTGGGTGTATCTACATCCTAGAGTTGATGCCCACTCCGAGACACTGATTATAATGCTTGTGACTGAAGGCGATATCGAGGCAATCCGCACAGGATGTACATATGCTAATAAGAGACTGATCAATTGCAGCTCTAAACATCAGTGGGAAGGTTCAAACAACCGATACAAAAATGAAATAAACTTCAACCTATTTCACAAGTCAGTGTCTATCTGGACTCAGTAACCAAGTGAATAACGCGACGGATTCGTGTCCCGTAGTGGATATCAACTCTGAGATTCAGGTACACCCAGCCAACGAGCCCCAAACAAGACTAAATGCGGTTTCCGGATTCAACAGCTAGCCGTCATCCATCTCTTCAGATGTATATGGTTGCAACAAGAAAGCTTTTTCAATACAGAATTGTCCCATTTCAATTTAATTGTTTGCCTCACCTCAACAGACACGAATGAACAAGGTTAAAATAATTCGTATCCTTATAAAATGTAAAAATATTACTTTATATTTTAATAATCTCTTAATTTATATTGTGGTGCGTGCTACTTATATTGATGTAAGTAGTATATAACGCGAGTCAGGAATGTAATGTCTGGCAGCAGAAGATTGGGAAGATCAAGAAAGGAAGGACGGGAATAGAAAGCAATTAGTATAGAAATGCCAGAACAATGAAGTCCGAGACAATTATTGAACATTTTGCAAATTAAGTATTATAGTATGGTTTTTCTATTTTACCAAGTAGCTCTGTAATTTCGTGCTAAATATGGTCCGATTGTCCCCGACCGTGTTCTGTTCACTACAGTATGACCGGTTATCAAGTGTCCATAATATCTCTAAACGATTAATTGAGAATACATTTTGAATCATGAAATAACTATTGATAACTATACTTGTTCATAAGGAACTATATCCGTATGTAAGATTTTGACAACTATTAAAATCAATCTTTTAATTATGTCCAATTGTCCAATATTATAGTGCCATGAATTCATATGTAATAACTATCGAGTGCTACTTAGCTTTTAAGTCTTCTCTTTTTCATATCAACTTATGGAAGAAACTACTTTCAAACTATTTAATTAGTAATATATGCACCACAATAGTCTATAAATTAGTTTTCATGATCATTTTAAAGTTCATTTAAATGAAAAAAACACAACAAGATTTATAAAATACAAAATGGTATACTTATATAATAAGATTTATGGTATTCAACTACACTATCTCTATATTTCCCTCAGTTACAAAAAAGGTTTATCATGTGTATGTATAAGTATGTTCATCTCTTATTTATTCAGTAATATAATGATTTTTATCAATTTTTCTTTTAATATTTCGGTAATCATCATAAAAAAACTTAAATCAACCAATAACATCTTTAACAGATACATTCAGTATTCAAAGGACACTAACCGCCATTTTCAAAATTTGTTTTTTTTCTTTGCTTTACATCAGATAATTGGTGTTTTCGTTTTTTGACATGATTTTAATTTAATGTGTGAAATAATTCATAAACATATAATCTAATTAAGTTATTTAATGGTTGAATTCATGAGTCAATGAAAGCTAGACCACCATGAAAAGATTGGAAGTACTAGACGGCTGTTTCATCCTAGTGTGGGACTCTTCAACAATGCACATCCAAGATTGGTTGAAGTTAGATAGTAACATCGTTAGACACCGACTCAGTAGTCTAGAGGTTAAGCATTCACATGCGAGACTAATAGATCTTGAGTTTGAACCCTGCGAGGCAGGATCGTAAATATGGATTGCTAAGGAGTCCCATACTAGGATGAAATAGCTATCCAGTGCTTCCAAGTTTTCTATGGTGGTCTATCTTCAATTTCCTCATGATTTCAACTATTAAATTACTATAATATCTACAAAACCCCTCTCTGAGTATTATTAAGTTATGTTTTGATTTATAGATTAATGGATAAAAATTAATGTAAGAAATTGTAATCATGCACAACATGCACATCAATGAAATTTACGATGGATATTTTGTGTTGTTTTTTTATCATTTTGGAACTAATCATCTGGATGTAACTGTCTTCCAGAGTTGATGTTCATATTAGGAGTCAAACATAGTATATTTAACTTCACACTTCACTATGTTATCGACTAGGCTGCTGAAGTCAGAGAGTTAACATTTTGTTAAACAAATATGATTCTTATACGTGATTTGTAGTTTTCAATTGTTGATGTTAAGGGCTTAAATTAATCACAGATTGAATTCAAAACTTGATATGCATCTCAACAATGAAATACAGGTATATCTGACTGAGGAGTTTGAAATAAGATGGAATGTAGGTCGTAAATTCTATTGTTAACCACTATCCATATTTATTAAACTTTTTCATTTAAACTTTTTTTTCAATTGGCCTCACATAGAAAGATTTATACTGTATTGACGACTAATGTACAACAAATCTATAATATCAGAAAGAGAGTTTTGTGGAGATGGTAGTAATTTAATAGTTGAATTCAAGAGTTGATAATGGGACTCGAACTCAGGACTTTTAATCTCACGCGCGAACGCCCAACCTCTGCTCCAGGAGTCCTGGTGAGAAACCGTGACCAATGGAGTTCAACCGTGTCTGTTGTGAGGCAGTGACTCACTGAGGACAATGGTGAACGGTGGCTCAATTTTGTGGATTAGTTGAAGTTGGACAATAAAACCGTTGGATGCAGGTTTGGTAGTCTATAGGCCTTTCGCTTTAAACCTTCAGTGTGTTATGCACTAAGCTATCAAGTGTAACAAGTATGATATTTATGTCATTGTGATCAGTCACAAATAGGAAGAAATATGCCTTTATGATCTTATCACTGGTTACGATTCATCTGTTCTGATTAACTTATGAAACAATGGATTTCTTGAAGCAATCCACATTCGATGCATATGTGAAAACAAAGGCTGAATAAAATTCAGTCGTGAAAATCACACTACTTCTTGTAATATAAAGCTATCTAATAATTCAGTCTTCTTTATCTCATATTAGTGTGTGCAAGTTATTAATACTGAAGTGCTTTTATGTGATAGATATACGATTTACTCAAAGTCCCATTGGTTTGGGTTCATATTAAAAGAATTCTTTATTTGTTTATTTGAACATATAAATATTAGTGTAATGGGGCACCGAATACAAATGCGCCACACCTGTCAATTGATTTGTGTGTAGGCGGTGCCAAAACCGAAGCACGTGGTTTTCTTAGAGGGTCACATCAAGAGACTTCAACTCAAAGGTCTGATCCATAAAGCAGTAAAGCAACGTCCCGAGATACAGTCCCATGATAGTTGGTGACCAACAATAGGTTCATACGCTATTTATTCCCTCAAGATTCTGGATCTCATGTGGACCATTGGTTTGAAATCAGTGTTATTCAACTCCCCTAGATGGACTCTCCGTATCCACCAACCCGGTTAAAATGCCAGACATTCGCTTTTCGTCCTCTCGATTTCGTTAACAACACCTGTGGTACGAGAATGAATTGAGTATGACTTGCTTGACAGTTGTTGTATAGGCGTGTCCATGTGAGATTATTTTTCGAGGGAGAGCTGACTCTTCCCACCCTCAGCCGTACCAGGGCATTCGGGAGCCAAAAGAATTCTAATAATATCAAAATCAGCAAGTCCCTATCGAATTCAACAATAAGATTTAACAGTAATCTAATCCTTTTCTTCTTCTTTAGAATTATTTTATTTTTTTAACTTTAAAACCATGCTTAGATTAGACAAACAAATTCATAGTCCCTATGCTATTAGTAATAAATACATATTACATGACATGTTTCTATACCTTTCCCAAGTCTATTCATTAAAGATCTGGTTATTGAATATATATATATATATATAATGTCATTTCGGAAATCAAAAATAACTCACAAAAAGAAAACATAATCAAAGCAAATACAAGCCGAATAGAATCAAATTAGAATATAAATTTATTTACATATGTTCATGTATGTTTTACAATTTACAAAGAGACTTTCCAAGATTACAAATTAAACAGACCAAGAAACGAACAACAAATCAGTTCCGCCTAATTGATAATGTATAAATAATTTAAATGTGAAAAATATAAAAAAATATTTAGTTCCACTTCATTATGGAATAGAAAAGGGGAACAAATTATATATATACTGAATTGATTTTTATTCTGTTTTAAGGAATTCATAGTTAAATGTTAAAAACATTAGAATAAACATTGATGTAGTATGTCGGAAGAAAAATAGGTACAGTATACATAAATTCTAATATTAGTCTGTAAAGTCATTTACAGTTGATCAGAGTCATATTTGACAGGTGTAGACTATCTGATTAGGGTTTGAACAATAAGGGTGATGAATGCTTGAAAACAGGATGAAATGGTTGAGTCTTTACATAGGTCACAATTGATGGTTATTCTATGAGTAAAGATGGATAGTGGCTAGCAGTGGAATGCATGAGGCGTGTTTTATACTATATGGGACTCATCAGCTGGATGTACCTGCAGTTCAAAGTTGATGTTCACTTTAGGACTCGAACCTAGTACCGTTCGTTTCAAACGCCATCGCATTATCCACCTAGCTGTGAATAAAGCCTGTAATTTAAGGCAGTATTAAGGCGATCCACACAGGATGCACATATGCCAACAAGAGACTGATCAATTGTAGTTCTAAATAACAATAGGAAGATACAAGTAAACAACACCAGATGAATTTAAACTTCACCCCATGGCACAAGTAGGTGTCTATCAGAGCTCAGTAGCTAAGTGGATAACATGATGGCGTTTGAAGCGAATGGTAGTGGGTTCTTGTCGCAGAGTGAACATTAATTCTAAGATGCAGGTACATCCGGCTGACGAGTCCCAAATAAGACGAAACACGCATCTTGGATTCCACTGCTAGCCACTATCTATAGTTGCTTTTAAAGCTTGTGACTGAAGGCAGTATCGAGGTAATCTTCACAAGATGCACATATACCAACAAGTGACTGATCAGTTGCAATCCTAAACAACAATATGAATATACATGCAAACAACATCAAATGAATTTGATGGCTGTTCTATTCCAAAAAACTTTCAGTAGCCAACAATTATCTGCGTAATTAATGGTTATCAGCATCTAAGAATCATCGATCTCAATCAAGTATGTTTTTATTGCTTAATAGTGAACGTCTAAAATAAATTCCTTTATTGTTTAGTGGAACACACTGAGATGTATACAGAATAATATGAGATAGGGAAATAACAATCTTACAATGAGCTTGGTGACTTAATTGTTCAGTTATTTAAGTTTCAGTGACAAATTAATCAAAATAACTAAATAGATAGTATGGTACGGATTATTGCGTAAGTTTATTCAATCCATTAAGTTTTCAGTGTAATAAAACAGTTAAGAAGATACATAGACAATCGCATGAATATACAAATGTACACTGATAGAAGTCAAAAGTCTATATGAATAAGTAGAAAATAATTAACTGGATAAAAATGGCACATTTAACAATTAGATAAATATATCGCTCTATAATAATTCATATCAAGTTTGTATAGACTTTTCATACTAATTCATCATTGTAAAACTATAAACTTGAGTAGGTAGACGCTCCCCGTCTTTAAAATCAACAATATGGGGCTTCTATGATGAAGACCTGAAACTAAGCCATAAAAGTACAAAACAATTTACTATTGAAAGATAAGACATTTTATTAATTGGTTAATTATTTACCAATAAGGGAAAACTAGTACTAATGTAGAAAAACGTTCATTTTGTGTATATTAAATGATCCCCTAGTAATGAACCATGTTATATTTGTCTAGTTCTTTATCCTAACCAAATCTATATGATTAATTTAGGATGTGACCATTAATTTAAATAATTTGATACTGTCAGTACTATACTTTAGTGTTACGTGATTAGAGGTAGTCAACGAGAAACCATGTAGTTCTTGAACTAGACATATCTACAATCTTTACGGAAGTAGTGCTCTCTGTGGAACCTAAACGTTGATCTACCATCTCAATTTGAAGCGTTCAGACTGAACTATTAAAGTTACAGTTGATCAATTGTAAGATATTGATTGATCACAAAATGGTAATCAATGTCGTATTTATTTACTCACTGATGTTACATAATCATAAAATAATTATTCGATTGATAATGAATAAAACCATGGTTGACATCACATCTATTTACAACAAGGTTTGATTGTGCTTTCTGCCTATTATTATTCATGGTAGAACAGTCCTAATGTAAGCAGTCATTGACTAATGGAGGCAAATTTTTCTATATTCTCACTAAAAAATGGAATTGAGGAAGCCTATGATAAAGGGGTTGGATGTTTAACTTTGATTTAATGATTTAAAGTTATTGCGCTCAACCCACGTCTATGAAATTCTAGATTTGATCCCGTGTAGACTTATGAATTCGCATTGTTAGGGAATTCAGATTTGAATTAAAATGATTTCCATTTGATTTACCTATCAAAACTTTTAAAACTTCACAAAAAAAGTCATTATTTAATAAATCATTCTTTGATTTAGCTCCTTCAGATGCTCCAAGTAACTTTCGTGTAGTTGGAGGTAATCAAACATCTGTACAGTTAGCTTGGGAACCACCAAGATTATTATATCGAAATGGTATTATAATAAAATATCAAGTTCGATGTTATATTGTTGGTGAAGAAGAAACTCATGATGAATTAAAAACGCTAACAGAACAAACTTTAAAGTTATCTAATCTACCAACAGCAACACATGCTTGTTTAGTACGTGCATGGACTAAGGCTGGTCCAGGACCTTGGAGTGATCGTATTCAATTTCTTATAAATCAGAAAGGTAGGTCAATTTGATAAAAAGAATATCGTTTTGTTAAACTCAGTGATCAGGTTTGTTAGCTTGAATATTACTACTAGAATATTTAATAGCATTTTTATTGATAGTTGTTATTTCTGTAAATTTCTCTCGAATTGTTAGCTTTTAACAAAGGTTTTAGTAACATCTAAATTTTCCCACATCATGCCTTGTTTTCGATGAACCATGTACACTCTACTTAAAAATATAGTTATTATGTTAATCAGAAAATGTAGTGAATCTCATTCGGGACTGATTGATTATTGTAAACAAAAGAAAGGTATGTAATTTCAATTGTTAAGATCATGAGTCAATTGATGCTAGACCACCATGGAAAACGCGAAAGCACTGGACGGTCGTTTCGTCCTAGTATAGGTCCCCTCAGCATTGCACATCCAGGATCCCGTACACAGGATTCAATCTTAGGATCTTCAATTACGCCCGCGAACGCTTAACATCTAGATTACTGAGCCAACGTCCAACGGTGTTAATATCTAACTTCAACTAATCCACGAATTTGAGCGACACATCCACCATTGTAATCAGTGAATTACTATCTCACAACAGACCCGGTTGAACTCCACCGGTCACTTCTAATGATCTCAACTATTAAAATTACCATACTATCCACAAAAAACCCTTCTGATATTTTCATTTGTTTAATTTCGTGACATTTTATAAATAAATGTAATATATTATCAGGTAAAAGTACAATATGGAGACAAACCAGTCAGAATTGAGATTATGGTTTTTAATTTTTTCCCCCGCAAAATTCAAATATTATGTATAATAAGAAGTAGAAATATCTTTCTATACTACTCAAAATGTTCGAAATAATGAAAAAAAATTATTAGTTTGTTGCCATCATATAGTAAAAATAGTGGTCTTAAATGTAAAAAATACTCAACTTTATCTGTTTAGATTGTTTATAATAGGAAAAATCAACATTATCCTTAATTAATAACGTTAAATCCTTAATCCTGAAACAAATTTTAACTTGTTGGTAATAGATATTATGAGACGGCACCTCAAGCATCTTTGCATGAAATTCATTCATATGTCCATGGAAGAGTTTTGTATTGTGTCAGATGTCAATTCGTAATAAAATCCATAACTTTAAACTGTTAACTCTTAAACTTTAATACCTAACCTTAGCCAAGAACAATGTGTGAACTCCTGTAATTTTGTTTGAAACGTTAAGTGGCGTTCAATGAGACCGATAAATGAAATCCATAAGAACGAATATATATATATATATATATATATATATATATATATATATATATATCGTTACTTTTTTATTTGCAGTTAAAACAACGTGTAGAAAACCCTAACAAGTTCATTTGTTTGCATTTTGCATCTTTAAAGTTTTTTTTCTCCCCAACCAGTTCATTTACAAAAGCCAGAAACTGACCGGAATCTTATCGTGATCATTTTAAGCTCATCCCTAAACTATACTCCTACCCAGTATTGGTCTCGCATGATTTATTAAGTTTGAAAAGTCAATGACAACCCATATACTTGTGGGCTTATCCGTTTTAATAAATAAACTTTCGTATAATTCAATCTCATTAAAACCAATTAAACATACTGTGGTATGTACTACTGACATCGATAGATTTAAGTAGTATGTATCATTAATCGAAAGTAGAGTAAGGGGCGGCAGAAGGTTCAGAAGATCGAAGAGAAGAGAAGAGAACTAGAATCTAAGAGTGATTAGTATGGAAACGAAGGAACAATTAAGTCTGAGACAGTTGGTGAATATTTTGCAAATGATGTATTTACTGTATGGTTCTCAGATTTTACTAAGAAATTCTGTAATTTTGTATTCAAATACATTCTGTTGTCCCCGCCTGTGTTCACGTTCACGTTCACTACAAGTGATAAAATCGAATCCAATGGAAAACTACATCATTCAGCTATATATGACAACAAATAATGTTTTTTTGATATAATTCATTTTATGGTGATTTCATATAATTTTGGTACAAGGCTAGTGTGTAACGTGTTAAAAAAGAAACTAAAATTGTAGACTTGCTTATGAGTATAAACCTATGACCTTGTACAATAACAAACTCAGTGTCATTTAGATCATGAATCAATCATTGTTAGACCACCAATGAAAACTTGGAAGCATTGGATGACCGTTTCATCAGTGCTTATCTACTTAAGTGGGACTCAAAACCAGAAACTTCGGATGCATACTGCTGAAGAGTTCTAGACTAAAACGAAACAGCTGCCTAATGCTTCCAAGTGTTCAATGATTCATGATCTCAATAAAAATCAATAATTACCACAATCTTACACTGATAATCTTATTCAATAATTTGAGAACACACATGTCTAATACATCATTGTTTTGAATGATTTATCAGTTCAACGAACTTTATTCAGAGCAAATGATGAATATTGTCAGAAGGATGAACATTTTTCAAAATAAAAAACAAACAGACATTCATACTGGTATGGGTTTTTTTCAATGTTTTTGCTTTCCATGTTTCCATCAATTACCAATAATATATGGAAGATAAATGGAACTATTGATGAATAGATTTAGGAATGTGGGATGATTTCAAAGATATGCTTACATATATATACATAATGTTATTGTATATTTCGATTGTATTTAATCCCTTCTATCCCATGAATTGAACATTTATAACCTACATTAATTGTTTTATTAAATGAATGAATACATGATTCACAATGTAAATAGATCTACTATGGTATTATTAAATGTAAAAGACATTTTAATTTTAGCATGCTATTTATCATTGTGTATATGTGTGTATGTGTGTGAAAAGCAAACAAACAAACACATTTGATGTAAACATGATAGAAATAAATGTGTACTATGGAAATGTAATAGATGAATTATTTGTAATACTATGGTCAGTTCACAAGATTTGTTATTATGGTAGTGGGTAGATCTGTTTTTTTGTTCAGCAACAAAAAAAACAGGATAAAATTAGTCATGGTAATGTGTTATAACTTGTCCCCTTGTGCCCAATTAACGTATGATGTAATGATAGCACCAATTTGAGAACTGTGAATTATCGGCCGGACCAATGAAGCATAAAACCCGTACAAGCAGTGCAGAGCCCTTATCGATCCTTCTTTCTGACTGGGCTTACCTGTTGGGATTAGAACACCAATCCAAGACTGCGATATAAATCATGTATTTCAAACATACTGGGTTTATATATAACTCAAACAGTCCACATCGTACCATAAAATAGAAGATAACATTTGTACAAGATTTAGCCAAAAGTGGCCATGAATGTGTAGCAATTCGGAAAACTCTTCCGGTCTCCCACATTGTACGAGTATTCCATGTACCTAAATTAATCGTTGCTCTGGTTGTCAGAAGGGGCATCAGCCTAGTGACTTCCGAAGGAACTCGGCTTTCACTATGAAGCGTCATAATTCTTCTAAATGGAGACCTTCTAACTCCCAGAGCAAAGTTTAAATGGTTTGAATTATTTTTCCTGGTTAGCGTTTCTTTAGTGAGTTAGTTGTCTAAGGGATGGGGTCGCTAACTTCATGCCCAACCCTCCTCCTCTATCCGGGCTTGGAAACAGCAGTAGCCAAAGAAGGGCTCCAGGCGGAGTTAGGAAACAACCTACAACCAAATTATAATTAAATGAAATTAACTACGTAGTTGCAATCACCTATCAATTAGCTTTGAACGTCCATCTGGTGCTAGGTAACACAAAATGGTATATTCAGAATCTTGGAAGATCCTAAAATTCTTGTGGTATTTAAATATATAGAGAAACATTACAACTAAGTTGTTCAAGCTCCAAATAATTACCTGTAACAGTCAAATTGATTGACATAGTTTGATCCTTCTAACGAGTATATGATATGACATCGATTGATGCTAACTGATCATTTACTTACTTACTTACGCCTGTTACTCCTAATGGAGCATAGTCAGCCGACCAGCATTCACCAACTCACTGTTACGGGCCTTCCTTCCTAGTTCCATCCAATTCTTGTTCATTTTTCTTATGTCTATCTCCATTTCTCGACGTAATGTGTTCTTTGGTCTTCCACTTCTCTTTCGATCTTGAGGATTCCAAGTGAGGGGTTGTCTTGTGACACAGTTGGGTGCTTTACTCAATGTGTGTCTTATCCACTTACAGCGCTTCTTCCTGATTTCTTCTTCCGCTGAGATCCGCTTTGTTCTCTCCCATAGTAGATTGTTGCTAATAGTGTCTGGTCAACGGATCTGAAGTATTTTGCTTAGACAGCTGTTAATAAACACTTGTATCTTCTGGATGATGGCTTTTGTACTCCTCCAGGTTTCCACCCCATACAGTAGAACTGCCTTGACATTTGTATCGAAAATTCTGACCTTGGTGTTGGTTGACAGTTGTTTTGAGTTCCAGATGTTCTTCAATTGTAAATATGCTGCTCTTGTTTTTCCGATCTGCGCCTTCACATCTGCATCAGATCTACCGTGTTCATCAATGATACTGCCCAGATATGTAAAGGTTTTTACATCTTCCAAATCTGATCATTTAGTATACTGAAATTTACAACTGATTAATTATTTGGTAATGACTAATGTTATATTTATCTAGTCTTTTTGTGTCAATCGAATTTCATTTATTAAGTTGCAATATGGTCACTAGTCTAAGTTACTCTACATCGGGTGAATTATATTGAGACGCTAGACGGTTGGAAGTATTGATTAGATTGAACTGAACCTAAATTCTATACTAGTTAATATTTGTTAATGCGATGTACCTACACTCTTGAAGTAACCATTATTCCCTATGAAATTCAACCTTATTATATAATGACTTTCACATAGTATTAAGAGAATTTATATAATGAGTATGAATGTTTAAAATTATTTATTCTTTAACTTAATCATATTTGTTTTTAGGTCCATCTCCTCCATTCAATATTCAAGTCTATTGGAAAACACAGTATATTTTAACAATTGAATGGAATCTACCAAAAGATAGAGAAAATATAGCTTATTTCATTATTTATTATGCAAAACAAAATAATCCAAAATTATGGCATAAATATTTTGTAAAAGATTTGAAAACAACAAAAGATTTAGTAAGTAACAAATTTAGGGTGATCAGTATTGAATAGAAATCTATGTTAATGTTTACTTGTTAATTCTGGTTAGCGTTTTTCTACGGGATGGGGTCGCTAACACCATGCCCAACCCTCCTCCTTTAACCGGACTTGGGACCGGCAGTAACTCTAGAAGAGCTACAGGCCCTTTTATCGCATACACATGAACAAATGCAGATAAAGACAGCCAGTGTAGCCGCAGTCTCTGCATCAATAGGCCTCAGCATACACAAGGAGAAAACCAAGGTCCTCAAATTCAAAACGAAGAACAGCAATCCAATCACTCTTGATGGCGAAACTCTGGAAGATGTAGAATCCTTCACATACCTGGGAAGCATCATCGATGAACAAGGAGGTTCAAATGCAGACATAAAGGCGAGGATTGGCAAAGCAAGAGCCACATTCCTACAATTGAAGAACATATGGAACTCAAAACAACTGTCAACCAATATCAAAGTGAGAATCTTCAATACGAACGTCAAGGCAGTTCTACTGTATGGAGCTGAAACTTGGAGAACTACAACAACCACCATCAAGAAGGTACAAGTATTTATAAGTAGTTGTCTACACAAGATGCTCAACGTCCATTGACCGGATACCATCAGCAACGGCCTTCTATGGGAGAGAACAAACCAGCTTCCAGCAGAAGAAGAAATTAGGAAAAGACGATGGAAGTGGATAGGACATACATTACGTAAATCGTCAAACTGCATCACGAGACAAGCCCTGACTTGGAATCCTGAAGGGAAGCGTAAAAGAGGAAGGTCAAAGAACACATTACGTCGGGAAATAGAAGCAGATATGAAAAGGATCAATAGGAACTGGAAAAAGCTGGAAAGGATTGCCCAGGACAGTGTTGGATGGAGAATGCTGGTGATCGGCCTATGCTCCTTCACAAGGGGTAACAGGCGTAAGTAAGTTACTTGTTAATTAACTAGTTAAACGGATAACTTTGGTTGATGCAAGATATATTTAATGAAATAATGCACTGTGAATAGTTCTTACCTAGTATAATCGTAACTTTTAGAAGTATTCTATAAAAATGAGGTTGATTTGAATCCCACAAGAAGTTTCAGTTCTTTCAATACTAAAGATATGAGTTATTGATGATTGACAACTAACACGACACTTCTGACTACCTTGAGTATTGATTAGTTACTTAGACTAATGACCACATTGTAATTTATATCAATACTGGATAGACATGAATAATGTTTGTTTATATTTAGTAATCAACTAGCGTAAATGTTCATTTGTAACCTTGATAACCTTAGTTGATATTTGATCTTGATATCTAGTCAGAATTATAGGGTACCTAAAAAAATACTATCCCTAATATTAACAGATTTTCATTCAAGCTAAAGACTTTGAACCAAACAAGTAGAGATTCTCATTCATGATAAGTTTATATTATTATTGAAATATTTGTCAAAAGAGAAGATAAATTTGATATACTAACTTTTAAGAATATACAAATACAAATAATTCCACTTCCCATTTAAACTTTATATCATTTTTATAAGCGAAGATGGATAGTGACTAGCAGTAGAATCTAGGAGGTACATTCCGTCCTATTCGGAACTCGTCAGCCGGATGTACCTGCATCTTAGAATTAATGTTCACTTTGCAACTCGAATCCAGTACAGTTCGCTTGAGACACCATCACGTTATCCACTTAGCTACTGAGCTCTGATAGACACCTACTTGTGCCATGGGGTGAAGTTTAAATTCATCTGGTATTGTTTACTTGTATCTTCCGATTGTTATTTAGGACTGCAATTGATCAGTCTCTTGTTGGCATATGTGCATCCTGTGTGGATTGTCTCCATATTGCCTTAGGTCATTTGCTTTATAAGCAAAGATGAATAGTAGCTAGCAGTGGAATCCAAGATATGTGTTTCACCTGAGATACAAATACGTCCAGCTGACGAGTCCCAAATAGTACAAAACACGCGTCCTGTATTCCACTGCTAGCAACAATCCATCTTTGCTTATAATACTTGTGAATTTATGTAATATCGAGGCAATACGCACAGTATACACATATGTGACCAAGAGACTGATCAACTGCAGTCCTAAATAACAATCGGAAGATACAATTAAACAACACCAAATGAATTTATACCATTTTTATATACATATATCATAAAGATTTAATATAAGCTAACCAAAAACAACAATTTAACCCAAAACTTATCCACACAACTACCGATTATTGAGAGTTCATATTGTTAAATTGATTCTTTTCAATAAAATAATCATACATTCTAACCTATTTACTATGATTATATATATATATATATATATATATATATATTACTTGAATAATCACTAAACTAACAACACAAATCTCTTTATGACGTCAGTGATATCAAATTGTAAATCTCATTTTCATATCTCCATCTATTATATCATATAATAAGTCATGTTAAAGGCTATAAGTTCATTTTATTTTCCTTTCACTTAAACATTATGACGTATGAAATGACGAAATCAAAAAAAAAAAGAGAAAAGAAAAGAAAAGAAAAATCAAGTCATTCATCTAAACAAATCACAATAAGTATACAAAGTATATTCATCATCTTTAAAAAAAAAAAGAAAAGAAAAGAAAGGAAGAACAAAATAGTTACAAGAGACCAGTTTATTTGTTAAGTAGTTGGTTAAAATAAAATCAAAAATGTCCAATACGTATATATGGAGGGAAAACACTTTTGTTTTTGTTGTTGTTGTTATTCGAGTAACTGTTATCCATAATGAAAATTTACATTCTAAACAGTGATTCATATATAATGATAAATATTTACTGAAACTAATATTGTAAAGAGATTTGAAACGTATAATGCTACATAATATATTGATAATATGGTTTAGAGTTATGTAATATGTAATATTTATTCTATTCTTTAAGGCAGAGAATGAATGAAATAAAACTTATTTAAGCTAAATCACTTAATATTTCACTAGTTGAAATCATCAGTCAATTAAAGCTAGACCACCATGGAAAACCTGGAAGCATTGGACGGCCGCTTCGTCCTAGTATGGGACTCCTCGGCAGTGCGCATCCACGATCCTGTACCCCACGAGATTCGAACCCGGTCGCTCTCGCGCCAGGCGCTTAACGAACTAGACCACTGGGCCGGCTGGCATCCAACGGTGTTAATGTCTAACTTCAACCAATCCACGAAGTTGCATCACAGTACACCATCGTCTTCAGTGAGTTCCTACCTCATAACAGACCTGGTTGAACTCCACTGGTAACGACTTTTCACTGGAACTCCAGGAAATACGTCTTGGAGACCGTCACTAATGAGCAGATGATGATTATAATCAGAGAGAGGTTTTGTGGAGATTTATAGAAGTTTCACTGGTTGAAATCATGAGTAAATTGAAGCTTGACCATCATGGAAAACCTGGAAGCACTGGACGGTTGTTTCGTCCTAGTATGGGACTCCTCAGCAGTGCGCATTCACGATCCCGCCCCCCCGCGAGATTCGAACCCAGGACTTATCAGTCTCGCGCCAGGTGCTTAACCAACTAGACCACTGAGCCGACATATATACTGAGTATAGACAGCATAACAGCATTCTCTATTCAACTCTGTCCTCGGCAATACTTTTCAGTTGTTCTCAGTTGCTATTCATCATTTTTATGTTGGTTTCCGATTCTTGATGTAGTATGTTCTGTGGCTTAGTTCATTTGCGTTGCCCTTCAGGATTCCAAGTTAGGATTTGCTTCATGATGTAGTTTGATGAATATCATAATGTATGTTCTATTCATTTCCAATGTCATTTCCTAATTTCCTCTTCAGTTCGTGGCTGGATTGTTCACTCACACAGTAGGCTGTTGTTGATGGTATCTGACAAATGGACATTGAGTATCTTACATAGATAATGGTTTATAAATACTTATAGTTTTTTGATGATAGTTGTTGTGGTTCTCCACGTTTCAGCTCGGTACAGTAGAACTATCTTCATGTTCGTATTGAAGTAATATAACTATTTTCAGTTTTATGGAAGGTTATTTATGAACTGAATTGTGCAAGAGTAATCTTATTCCGTAAGGAGTACATGTACGCCTTACTGATATGTTTTAACTAACAGGAAACTTAGATAAAGCAGGGTATTTTGATGACTACCTTTGACTACCTAATATACAAAGAATGAGGATCTGGCAGTATGGGGTTGTGGAAACTGTTGGATTTTATTCAAATTTTATTCAAATAATCACTGAAAGCCTGGAAGAAATGGAAGATCGTTTTGGTCTTGTATGGGTCTCATCAGCAGTGCGCTCCGACGACCTCGCAACTGGAAATCAAACATAAGACTTCTGCCTTCATCTCTAAACGTCTAAACTCTAAACCACTGACATGGGGTTCAATGCTGTATAAATCTAATTTCAATCAGTCTTTGATATTGCGTGACTATTTTCCATTGATTTCAGTAGATAACAACTTAACACCCTACATGATTGAATTCCATCGGTCACCGCTTCTCACTAGAACTCCAGAAATTACTAGTGAATGATGTTAAGAAGTCTGATTAGTAGAAATTTTGATTTGAGGCTTTCTACTGATAACCATTCAGAAAATTTTAATTAACTTCAGTTTGACAACTAAATTAGTGCCTTCTCAAAGCAAATCGACCGCTGAAGAATGAAACCGAGGCATTTTTCTCACCATTGAAACTATAATCAGTATTTTGAGAAAAGTGTGTGTTAGAGCAACAAAGAAGTGATACTCCCTGTTGGATACAGGCTCACATGAACCAACCCTAAAAAAGGGAGGCTACCACTAACCTATTCAAGCAGCAACTGACCCCTTGTTAAACTTGGATATTTACAATTGACTGATCAATGAGTAGTAACTGATGTCATGTTTGTCTACCCTTTGAAAGATGGTCGAATTCTATTGATTTATTGAGCCATTATAATTTGAAAATTTACTATGTTGAAACAATTCTGAACATACTTATCATCATTATGAGAACTCAACATTTATATTGTGTTTCTCAGGACACTAATTAAGCTTCTCACATGTAAACTACATTGTTATCAAAAATGACAACTATTGATCTCATTGAACTTATGGACCGATCTAAGTTAGACCACTTGTAGGCACTGGACGGCCATTTTTCCTAAGTTCAAGACTTCTCAGCGGTGCACATCCACGACTATGCAAACGAGAATCGAACCCCGGATATTTGAACAATAAACCTCTATACCATAGAGACGCGACCCAGTGGTGCCTATGTTTAACTTCAATCAATCTTACTGATCTAATTATAACCTTTTTGTGACAAAACGTAACTCCACCTTATTTATTTCTTTGTTCAATAGTTTTTATCTTCATAAATATTTTTAAAAATTGTTTTAGGGTAATTTAAGTCCAGATGATGAGTATTTAATTCGTTTAAGTTCAGTTGACTTAAATGGGAATGAAGGTGAATTATCAGATATCATTAATACTAATTCTTATCAACATTCAACAATCAATGACAATAGTAATGGTAATATCAATAATAATAATGATAATGATATGAACAATAAACGAAATCATAATTTTATATTCAGGGATATACCTGATCAACCAGAGAAATTTACTGTACAAAATTTTAAATGTATACATAGAACAATGAATACAATTACAATTGAATGGTTACCTCCGATACATTTAGCTAATCTACTTGAATATCAGGTAAGTTATTGTTTAAACAAAGATCTGTATTCATTTATCACGTTGAACATAGGATGTTCTGAATTTTACAGGCGATATAATCTATAAGCAATAATGGATAGTAGCTAGCAGTAATATATAAGACGCGCATTTCATCCTATTTGGAACTCGTTAGTTGAATGTACCTATATCTCATAGTTAACGTTCACCCCGGGACTCGAACCCGGTACAGTTCGTTTTAAACGCCATCACGTTATTCACTTAGTTACTGAGTCCTGATAGCCAGCTGCTTGTGGGGAAGCTTTAAACTCACTTGGTGTTGTTTGCTTGTATCTTTCCATTGTTTTTCCATTGCTAGCCACTATCCATCTTATAGAGGCGATCCACACAGGATGCACATATGCCAACAAGAGACTGATCAATTACAGTCCGAAATAACAATCGGAAGATACAAGTAAACAACACCAAGTCAAGTTAATTTATTTTTTTGTAAATAAAATCATCATATATGGTTAATTTTCTTTATGAACTACTATTAAAAACCAGAGGAACACTGAACAACGATAATTTTAAAGTAGTGAATGATTTTGACGACGCTTTCATAGGCTTTGGTCGCCTTTTTTCTAGACGTCCACTTATTGTCAGAAATTGTTTAGTTTCAGGCATATATTCATTAATTAGTTACATCTGTTAACTGCTTGTAATTACACTCTTTCATTAGAATGGTTATAACTTATAGAGAATTGAATTACTGAAAAACTCAAGTCATACTATCATAATGGTTTGTTTGTTTTCATGCTCAATTATTTTTAGAGAAATGGGAAACAATTATTATGGGATTTATACATTGAATGTATATTCAACAATGAAAGTAGATATTATTGAAGCATGATAGATGCTAAACATTAACAGATAAATATGAATACCAGCTTCCTACTGTTCGAAATCTTCTTATACACTTTTTTATGGAAGGTTCATAATGTGACTGATTAAAAGTAGGAATTTCGTCGCATCTTCACACAGATTTGTGCTCAGAACTCTGTACTGTAATCAAACATATGACAGCGAATGTAGCGGGCATCACTACTATTATTATTATTCTTGGATTTCCAATTTTGATTAATCTGTACTATGGTAAAATCATCATATAATAATAGTAATTATTATTATTATTATCAGAAGGGGGTTTTGTGGAGATTTTAGTAATTTCATGGTTGAACTCATGAGTCAATTGAAGCTTAACCACCATTGAAAACCTGGAAGCGCTTGATAGCCATTTCGTCCTAATATGGGACTCCTTAGTAATACGCATCCAAGATCCTGCGTCGCGAGACTCGAACCCCGGACCTATCAGTCTCGTGAGCGAACGCTTTACTCCTATTTTGACCATAGAATCATCATCCAACGGTGTCAGTGTCTAAATTTAATCAATCCGGAGGGCGGATCGTGTACGCGCACTGCTGAGGAGTCTCATACTAGGACGAAACGACCGTCTAGTGCTTCCAGGTTTTCCATGGTGATCTAGCTCCAACTGACTCATGAATTCGACTATAAAATTATTATTAATGGCTTTATCCAATATTATATTTTGGTACAATATAGAATTCTCAGCACGATGTATTTTAATAAGTTGTACAGAATGTATGTAATTTTAAACAAACAAAAGAAAATATGATGTGAAGATGATTGTCCATATTGTGTATGATTATTCCAGTTCATTATCACGTTTCTGCTAAGACACGTTCATGTTCTGAATGATACAAGCTGTTTTGAATGTTTAAACGAAGAGTATCTTTTATTATTACAATCATCTACGTGTTTTATGATTTGGTCTATCAGTGAATTGTTGAAAATCCGCTGTCAATTTTTCCTTTAAAATATACTACTGAATAATATGTCTTAAGCGTATATATTGATCTCACAAAATAAGTGTCAAAAAATATTAATAATATTGAGTGAAAACGCTATAAGGCTCATCAACTAATAAATCCAATAAATATTCTAATTGAACGCTTGATTTGGTCTCCTAAGCTCTTCTAGTAACCGTCGGGCTAAATCTATACGGCAACTTGAACACTAGAGAAAATCTGCGAAATATAAAAAGAACTCTTTACTTCGAAGTTCCTTTATGTACGCAAAATCTAGGGTATTTATAGCATTTCAGATAACCTTGGGCTTCTGTAAAGCTCTAGAACCATTCTAAACATAATAGTAGGATAGGCAACCACCCAATTAGAAACGTGACATTTGACTTTTCACCTTCCAGATATTTCTGAGAAACTCCTATCGAATACTGATTGGATAAGATGTTTCCCAGTGTTTTCAAGGCCGTATTAGGCTTTTTTCAGGGAATTTTCTGGATCTCCTCGACAAAATCAATTAAAATTTTAAATATTTAGTTAATTTCTGATTGTTAATCGATATTCTAACCGTTTTATCCTGTATAATTCTTACTATATGTTCAATGAAGTTACTTTTACCATCGTGAGTAATAATTAAGCTTTACATTCAAATTTTAATTCTACCGGTAAATGAATGACCTATAAAATACATTATTTCATTCAAATCTACCACATCAAATCATAGTTAGTACGTAGCTGACATTGTCTCGTTACTATTAAAAACTGATTTCAATATAATTAATTGAGTGTTAGTGCTGAGGAATCCCATACTAGGACGAAACGGCCGTTCAGTGCTTCCAGGTTTTCCATGGTAGTCTAGCTTGAATTGACTCATGACTTCAATCTGTGAAATTTCTAAAAATCTCCATAAACCCCTTCTGAATGCTCGTGGTCAAAGTTTATTCATTCCGATTATTTGAAAACATCATCTTGATGATGCATATAATCGAGACTTTATCATTGACAATATCTAATTGATTATTTGATCCTATAAAATACTATCAAGAAGTATGAAACTTCTTTGCAAAGTGTATAAAAATAATCGTTAATGTTTTTTCTCCCTCTCTCTTTTCCTTTTCTAACTGCCTATTTTAGTTACACATATCTGGACGAAGTGAATTTATCACAAGTAGTGGTGTATTGAAATCTCTTCATTTAGGTGATATACAATTACATCAAAATATTGATAAAGAAATTGATAATAACGAACCAAAATTGATAAATTGGCCATTAGTTAACATGCTTAATAGTATGTCAGATCTGGAAGATCACCATCCACAGCAACAAACGCATAAAATGGAAATACCAAATTTAAAACCAAATAGTCAATATAAAATAACTATTCGTCCAATTTATCGTGCACTTATCACAGAGGGTAATATAGGCGCTAAAGAAGGTATCCCAGTAACTATAATATGTCATACAGAATGGAGTGGTAAGCAAATCTTCGCTATATTATTATTATTATGTTAATATCCTACTTTGAGTATTTCAATAGCATCAGCCACTTTTCCATACTCAATTAGACAATTATTCAAATATAATGCGTAAATATCACACTTTATTTATAGTATAAGACTTCACTGACGATCTACCAAGTTGTACAATGAATAAAGTATCTTTATTGTTTTTTATTATATATTATTATTAGCTTTATTCAATATTATATTTTTGGGACAATATATAATTTTCCTGGTCGAATTCATGAGTCGATTAAGGTTAGACCACCATGAAAACCTGGAAGCACCAGATAGCCGTTTCGTTCTAGTATGGGACTCTTCAGAAGAGCGGAACTCAAGCCCAGAGCCTTTGGTCTCGAGCGTGAACGCCTAAATTCTATCTTGACCACTGAACCGGCATCCAATGGTATTAATGTCTAACCTCAACCAATCTACAATAGGATGAAACAGCAGTCCAATGCTTCCAGTTTTCTAATGTTAGTCTAACATCAATCAGTTCATGATTTCAATCAAAAACCTAACCATCTCCATAACCCCATATTGATAATAGGCGTTTCAATTATCTTAGAGACTATCATTAGTAAAGTAATTTTATTGAAATTATGTGGAAAAAAAGAAGCATTAATGGAATGTTTAGCTTAGAACAACTGAATAGCGCAAAAATGGTGTATAATAACACTGATACATTTGTATATATAAAGATTTCTAAAATAAACCATCTGTTTTATTGTATATTATTATGATTATTAGATTGGCAAAATGCATTGAATGATTCACCTTAGATTGAATAAACAAAATTGATTACAGAATAATTATAATATAATATACATACTTCATTCTTTTTCAATCATAGATTTATATTCATAGTTGAAATCATGAACTGATCTTAGTTGGTTGTTTCCCCATGTTATGCATATCCATGACTCTGTATCTAATAATCGGATCCAAGACCTATGGTCTTGTGCATGAACACTTAACCTCTAGATCGATGGTTAATATGTCTAAATTCAGTTAGTTAACGTTACAGCACAACCGACATCCACTGTCAGTTAGAGTTAATTGTTTCACATCTGACAGATTTATATGTAATCACAATTATCGCTTCTTTGATTGAATAAATGCAACATTACAATTCAGAATAAAACCGTTATCATAATCAGTAATAGATCCATTTCTTAGATTTAGTTAATGATATTAAGTTTTTAGAGGTAGTTTGTTAATATTCGTCAACAAGCGAACTGATGCTTTGTGATGGATTCAAGTTAAAGTCACTCAGTTTCACAGTCTCGGATATTTCCACTTATTTGTTCGGGTCATGACTGTTCTAATGATGAAACTAAATAGCGTATTACTTTACTATTTTAAGTAACAGTTTCTATCTAGACTGTAATAACTGGTAATGAACTAATGTCAATCAATTTTATAATGATTGATTGTATTTCAGATATGTTAATTTACATGTTAAGTAGAGATTTAAAAATGCTCTGGTACGGCTTAGAGTGAGGGAAGTCAGCTCTCCCTCTCGAAATTCTCTCACATGACCATGTGCATACAACCACTGCCAGGGAAATCTTACTAACTGCATTCTCGCACCACGGGTGTTGTTTACGAAGTTTAGAGGACGAAAAAGGAATGTCCAGTGCTTTGACCCGGTTGGTGGGTACGGAGGATTCACCTCGGGGAGTTGGAAAACCCTGATCCCAAACCAATGGTACACATGAGCTCCAAGATCCTGAGGAAACAAATAGTGTATGAACCTATTGCTGGTCGCCAGATACCACGTTGTTCCACCGCCCTGTGGATTGGACCTTTAGGTTAAAGGCTCGGAGTATGGCCCCTTAAGAAAAAACCACCTGCTTCGGTTTAGGCACCTGGGCAGTATCCTAGCCCACACATAAACCAAATGATTTGTGTGGTGCATATCTATTTGGTGCTTTCTTGTATCAATGTTTATGTATTTAAATAAATAGTTATGTTAACTATTGGAGAATTAATGACACAAGTTAACTCCCAGGGTGTTGAACGAGGTGGAACGGAGTTCAAATTGACGACTTCAATATTATAAAGTATCCTTTATTCATCAAGTCATTACTTCACTACTGATATTTACTTCAACTATGAAATATCTCCATTTCGAAATTTGATTGACATAAAACTATAAACTAGATGCTAAAACTTATCAATAATGTTGTTGTACAACATAACAATTTAGAATCACCTAGTGGATTTCAATTCACTAAGCTAGATGGTGTTATTATTCAGTTGTTCACAGCTATAGTAAAAAACACACCAAGCATTTTCAAAGAATATTATCCCTGAGAGGTTACTATTCTTATAATGTATTACATAAAATTATTTTTAAATCCTTTTTGTTTGGGAAAAAAACTTGCAATTCCTCTTTTCTTTCTAGCACCAGAACATATAAAACAACCAGAATTACTTGCAATTTATGCAGGTCCTTCAGATCCTCAAGGACCAACTTCAATAATTGAAGTAAAATTACATCGTGTATCAGAAGAAAATGGTCCTATACATAATTATTATGTGATTATATCACCAGAATTGAATACAATAACATTGAATAAAAATATAATCAATAATATTCCATTGAAATCATCCAAATCCCCAGTTATTGATCCATCTGATTATGATTTGAAAATTTTATCACAAAATAATGATTTACCAAGTAATCAAGCACCATATTTAGCTTTAGCACGACATACAATAAATTTATTTAAACCAAATCATGAAACAGCAATTATTATATTAGGTAGTGAAGAGGTAGATAATTTTGTTTTGGAAACACAATACTACTTGGATACTATAACTAGTAGAAATCAAACTTATGATAGAAATTTAAAGAAAACACCTAATCTAGGATCATATTTTCATGATGATATATCAGATATACATGAAGATGATAATCAGATCAGTAAAAATAATGAAAACAAACCTTATTATCATAATTTTAATAGCAATATGTTTATGAAAACTATACAGGTAAATAATAAACGTCTTTATCAATCCACTATATATCGTGTTGCTTTGAGAGCATGTTCACAGGTAAGTAAATGGTATGAACAATCTGTTCTATGTATACTTTGTTTCAGTAGTAAGTTTTTTTAAACATAAATGTTGATGTTATATCAGAATTTAAGTTGGAGACTCTTATGAATCCACTATCCATCTTGTTGTGTTAATGAGGTATGGCAACTTGAACCGATGCATATATATGCCTGGTCCTACATTGTAGCTGACTGACTGACTAACAGATATGAACTAATTTTAAAACAATTACCAAATCGACAGAGGTGTGTAACTTCTTATAACTAGTATACTAGACGAATGATCATATTTATCTTTCTAAATAAAGTAGCATAATGGAGAAGTTGACAAACATTTCATAATATGGCTTCATGAACACCAACTTTAACATTTTAATGGTTTTAATTTCAGGACAAATTTAAGTAAACGATTTCTTTATTTAAATAGTCAAGAAGCGAGTTTATCAAAGAAACTGCTAGTATAAGATTTGATCCTTCCTTATTTCTTCATTTCTTTATAAGGTTTTGTGTAGTCTATTAAATTTTCATAGTTTTAATAACGGATTAATCTTACTTAGACAATTATTAGAAACCACGATACACTGAATAGCTATTTCATTTTAGGATGCAGCTCTCAATAACTCTATTTTAATGCATTGGCGAATAGCGATACATTCACAATCGTTGTTGATAGATGATAGAAAGTGAACGACCAAATTAAATAATTTGGTATATGAATCATAGTTATATTCTTATTTAAGATTTCTTCCATTCGGTTATCATTAAATTTGAGACGATCTACTTTATAAACTATTTTAGCTGGATACTAACGACGACGTTTTTTTTAAAAAAAGTCAATGTGAAGGGTTTGACGCATTCAGAATGGGTAACCAGAGGTGACAGCATTTTAAAATACATTACTATTATTATTATCATCATCGTAGCATTCATAAATCGTGTAAGTGTAAGGTGTATATTGTTATAACTTGTGGCCTTGTGCCCTATTAATATAAAATGTAATGATATCACCAATTAGAGAACAGTGATTTATCTACCAGACCAATGACACGTAAACCCGAACGACCAGTTTAGAGTCCTTATCGGTTCTTCTTCCTGCCTAACCCTGCCTGTTAGAGTCCAAAACACCAATCTCAACCTCTGTCACATAAATCATGTATTTCAAACGTACTGGATTAATATACAAAACCAAACAGACCACACCATACCATAAAATAGAAAATAACATTTGTACAAGATCTGGTCAAGAAGTGGTTGTGAATGTAGGATACTGTAATTAATAGACTAGGCATAACTCAAGAATGGTAAATTGTATAATAATAGTCTATCGGTCAAAATAAAGCTTATAATAAGAGAAATATAAATATGCATAGTTTAACTACTTAACAATTATACAATAAATAGATACATATCGTATTAGTTCATAAATAGTTCTCGAAAGTTACCATTCATAATTCTCGTTGAATTATAACACATAATTATTAAGTGATATATACAAAAATGCAGTTCAATTTACCATGAAGATGGGATAAATATAGTGTCATTTGTATTTTAAAATAATAAATGTTACCACCTTTCCCATGAAATGTACAATAAACAGTTCAATTGATTGATTTGAATTTGATTCTTTTTTCTCATCACTTTTATCGTAAACAATGATTATTTATAACTGTCTAGATTCAATAGTTTGTTGATTTTATCATAGATGATCAGTGATGAACATAAAACTGTCCTTTTATTATATTCTGCTTTTTTATTCCAAGTAATCATTGGTAACATAACTGATATAAGATTAGACGATAATATTTCACTTTGTCTAATATAATCGAATATTCATGAATTCAACTATTAAATTACTATAATATCCACAAAACCTCTCTCTGATTATAATCTTTATATGCTCACCAGTGACTGTCTCCAAGAGGTATTTCCTAGAGTTCTAATGAGAAGCTGTGACCAGTGGAGCCAAATCGTGTCTGTTGTGAGGTAGAGACTCATTGAAGACTATGGTTGACAGTCTCACAATGTCGTAGATTGTCTGAAGTTAGACATTAACGCCATTAGATGACGGCTCAGAGGTTAAGCGTTCTCATGAGAGACCAATATGTCCTGGATTCAATATTTCGCTGGGTGAGATCGCGGATGTGCACTACTAAAGAGTTCCATAATAAGATGAAACGATCATCCAGTGCTTACAAATTTCCCATGATGGTCTAGTTTCAATTAACTCATGAATTCAATTATTAAATGACAGAATACTACTTAAATATCTCAATGATAATGTTCTAATTTATTATAGATAGATATCTATCTAACTATCTATCTATCTATCTATCTATCTATCTATCTATCTATCTATCTATCTATCTATCTATCTATCTATCTATCTATCTATCTATCTATCTATCTATCTATCTAACTATCTATCTGTCTATCTATCTATCTATCTATCTATCTATCTATCTATCTATCTATCTATCTATCTATCTATCTATCTATCTATCTATCTATCTATCTATCTATCTATCTGTCTATCTATCTATCTATCTATCTATCTATCTATCTATCTATCTACTATCTATCTATCTATCTATCTATCTATCTATCTATCTATCTATCTATCTATCTATCTATCTATCTATCTATCTATCTATCTATCTATCTATCTATCTATCTATCTATCTATCTATCTATCTATCTATCTATCTATCTATCTATCTATCTATCTATCTATCTATCTATCTATCTATCTATCTATCTATCTATCTATCTATCTATCTATCTATCTATCTATCTATCTATCTATCTATCTATCTATCTATCTATCTATCTATCTATCTATCTATCTATCTATCTATCTATCTATCTATCTATCTATCTATCTATCTATCTATCTATCTATCTAATGCTGTAGTAAGCCCATTTAACTACTGTATCATTTATCTGCTCACTGTAATTTAGACACTTAATCCATTCTATGATTTTCTGTGTAAGTCTGATCAAGTACACGTCTACACATCAATTTTCAACCTATTCTCCCATTGGTTGTAATGCACAGACAATCAATAATTTATCCATACTTGATTAACACTCATAAATATATATGGATTTTTAACACTCAGTCACACATACACACATACACTTGGTTTCCCTTTGTACTTGCTTCTTGATTTTCTCAATCTTTAACAATAAACTATCTATCTATAGTTGGTGTTGTTCAGGCTTTTGAATAATCTCGAATAAATCTATAATTCCACTAAAAGATTTAGCCTTGTATTTAATACTAAATTAACAGGATACTATTTATAGAAGTCAGATATGGAAGAAACTAGTCTCTACAAATCCATATGATGAAAGGGGAAATAAGTTAGTTACATTGATTGTTTCACGGTCATAAAATAAATTTATTCTTATTTCAACAGTTGAGATCATGAGTCAATTGAAGCTAGACCACTATGAAAAACCTGCAAGCACTGGGTGGCCATCTCGTCCTATCGTGGGACTTCTCAGCAGTGCGTATCTACGACTCCGCTTCGAGGGGGTCCAGCTCAGGACCTATCAGTGTTCCAGGTTTCCCATGATGGTCCGGCTTCAGTGGTCTAGTTGGTTAAGCGCCTGGCGCGAGACTGTTAGGTACTGGGTTACGAATCTCACGAGGTGGGATCGTGGATGCGCACTGCTGACAAGTCCCAAAATAAGACGAAACGGCCGTTCAGTGCTTCCAGGTTTTCCATGGTGGTCTAGCTTCAATTGACTCATGATCTCAACTGTTGAAATTACTACAATCTCCACAAAACCCCTTCTGATACAAATTCATTCTAATTTTTTTTTGTATAATTTGATTTACTTGTCATATACTATCATCACACTTACTATTATCTTTCATTCCATTTATTTAATATTTTACTGTTAACATAAACAGAAAGGTGAAAAATACATTAAAACAAAAAAGACAATTTGTTATGTCTAAAAAAAAGAAAAAAAATTTATTGTAGTTGTGGTTGTTGTTGTTGCTGCTGCTTGTTTCATAAATGAAGACAAAAGGGAATAAAATCTGTTGTCATGTTGTCTATCTATTATTATTCATAATCAATAGTTCATATCAGTAAAATGTTTCACTTTCTTTCTTTCTTTCTTTCTTTCTTTCTTTTAAATTTATTATTTTGTGACAAATTTGTTTTGTTTTTCTTTCTTTCTTTTTTCTTTTCTTTATCTTGACTGATAAAGTAACTGACGTGTTCAAAATAAGATTTTTGTTCCTATGATCAAAATAAACGAAGTGAAATGGATGACTTATTATTATTATTTTAGTACATTCTATGTAATATCAGAAGCGGCTTTTCTTTGTGTGTAGATGTTATAGTAATTTTCAAGAGTTGTTGAGATCATGAGCCATTTGAAACTAGACCGCGATAGAAAATCTGGAAGTAATGAATGGCTATTTCGTCCTATTGTGGGACTCCTCAGCAGTGTGTATCCACGATATCGGCCTCGCAAGATTTGAACCCAGGATTTATCAGTCTTGCGTGTGAACTCTTAAGTTGATCATTAATTGTAATATTTACAAACGATATTGGTTTAACTCAACCGCTTTACATTTCATCAATGATCAGTTTAGTGGTTAAACTATTTTTTTCTTTGATTTGAAGAAATAAAGCTAATTTTTAAATGTTAAAATTGTACATGTTAGTTCAACGAATCATTACTTTTCATGGTTAAGATTAGAATTGTAAACCATCGGATCTGAAAATTATGATCAAGTTTTGTTCTCTGAGCTGGATGGTTTGATCGTGGAGCTTTCATCGTTCTTCTGAACGACATCAACAGCACAAACTTCAAATAGAAGTGAAGCGTTCGAACTTCTCTGTATGTGGTTCACAGCTTGTCCTGTAGACCACGATGATCCACGACCAAACCATCCAACTCAGAGAACAAAACTCCATTAAAATGATCCACCTGCACCAAAAGTCTTCTCCACCATCTCAAAATCTGAAAATTAATCATCTGACATGTTAGATCACCATTGAAAACTTAGAAGTACTGGATAGCTATTTTGCCCTAGTATGTGACTCTTCAGCAGTGCAAACTCACGATCCCACATATGAAAATCGAACTCAGGACCTTCAATCTCTTGCACGAACGCCTAACTTCTAGACTTGACTCCAGGAGTCTTTTCAATAAGCCATAACTAGTGGAGTTCAACCAAGTCTTTTGTGAGAGATAGTAACTCACTGAGGGCAATAGTAGATGGTGGCACAATCTCAAACTCTCATAGATATTTTTATTGTTTGCATACATCTAATATTATTTCCTTTTTTGTTTTAAAACTACTTTTAAGATAATTAAACCTTACACACGTAACAACAATCACACAAACATAAACACACATACACACACACTTATATAGAAATACATACAACCATAATGGTTATAGTTAACAGTTATGATTAGTAATATATAAACTAATCTAATGTATAGTTATCATAAACAAGATATACATTATTTGAAATACTATCCATTTACTATGTCTTCATTTATATAAACAAAATCAAGACAAGAATTTCTAATATTCTTTATAATATAAACAGATATATATATATTTATCATTCAAATGGGATTCTATCATTGCTTCTTCTAGTACGTCTTCTAGTACAACACGTTATTTATTTTGTTGTGTCTCTTTTTCTTTCTGTTGTTGTTGTTGATCTTTTGCCCAATGAAATCTGTATAGATGAAGATAAGTAAACTATGTATTGAATAGTCAGAGTTGTTAAATGTTTAAACGTTTTTTTTCTCTATGACTATTATTTACTAGATAATGATTAAACTATCTATGCTAAACATCAATGGGAAGCATTCAGGTAAAAAAAAATACCAAGTAAGTTAAACTTTATCCCATTGCACATGCAAGTGGCTATCGTGACTCAGTAGCTAAGTGGATAACGTGATGACGTTTCAAGCGAACGGTACTGGGTTCGAGTCCTAGAGTGAACATCAACTCTGAGGTGAAGGTTCATCCAGCTGATGAGTACCAAATAGGACTAAACGAGCGTCAAACTAGATTCCACTGCTAGCCACTATCCATCCTTGCGTAAAATGCTTGTAAATTTAGACAATATCGAGATAACACGCGCAGTATGCACATATGTCAATAAGCGGCTGATCAATTCCAGTCCGAAACATCAATGGGAAGATTCAAGTAAAACAATACCAAGTGAATTAAATTGATTAACGTTCATTGTGAAACTACTTATTGTATATAAGTAGTCGGTTTAATAATGAAATGAATACAGAAAAAAAGGTTATATTTTCTTGGATATATACAAATATTTAATTATAATATATCTTTGTAGTCATTGTCAGTTATTGCTAAAATAAATAAAATTTCAAATTATATTATATAAACTCAATTGACTGATTGATTCATAAGTGAACACATTGTAAGTTGACTAATCTAATATGTGCATATAATTGGAAGAAATGAAGAAGAGATAGATGATGTCTAACATTAGAATCCATGACTCATCAGCTGAATATACCTCCATTGCAACATTGATGTTTACTCCAGGATTCAAACCCGGTATCGTTCGTTTCTAATATCTACCTGATCAAAATAGTTGAACAGGATTAATAAATATGATCAGCTTTTTTCGATTTTATATTATTTCATAAAAAGTATCAATACCATTAAGGAAGTGGATGTTCAATGGGAATTCACTTGGTAATTGTGATATGTTTCTTTTTTTTCTCATCTAAATAGCTGATTATTGGAAAAGTATCTTGCTATAGAATAACTTTCTAAACTTATATTTAATGTGTGCTTAACTACATGAAACGATTCACTTACTGACCAGTAATTCAGTCTTTTAATATCTAGTTAGGATATACTACGTTATTGATCCCCAATTCTGTGAATATTCATCACTTAGAAACGCTATACACTAAGTACTTTATTATTAGTAGGATTTAGTCATTGTACATTAGTGTTGAAAATGATGTCTAGTTCTAACAGATTGGTTAAGTGAAATGTAAACACCTTTATTTCCATTTCATTAGGTAGCTTCCGTTCATTACTGAGACCGACTGAAAAACTACTGAAAGTTCAGAAGTAGCTAATGACTATTTCAGATTTTTTGATGCTATTCATAAATGAGTACCGTCGATTCCTGATAATTCTATATTAGGATTCCCATTTCTCAAGGCGGTCATGAAAACGGCTTAGAATCGTGTGTTCTGATGCCAGATATTTGGAGTTGATCGATGTAAAAACCACAGGAAGTATCAGGTTCCTCAAGATTAATAGTGCACTTGATTGACATGAAAAAAAGGTTTCCTGATGAATACCACGAACTACATAGTATCAAAACACTTTCCGAGCATGCTTCTCTATATGCCTTGTCTCTAGTTCAAAAGTCAGCGACCACCCTCTATTTCAAAGAGATATAGTTTGTATATAGACGTACCGAACTTCATAACATCATAAAAGTAATACCTTTACATAAACGACACAAAAAAGGTGGTAAATGGGTTAAGTTGTCAGTTAAAGGCTAGAGACAAAAAGGAATTGTATGTAGTACAATAACAGTTAATATTTTAAATGAAAGCTTATGATAAACAGAATATAAACACATGGTTAACCAGTTAATTAGTAATTACACAAAAAATATACAAGCAATTGTAATTCAAAAAGAAGTTTCGAAAGTCCCAACTTTCACAATGTCTTCATGATATAACGTCAATAACTATTGTTTACTCAATTAAGTACTAAATTACGTATACTGAAATTATTGAATGCAAACCCATTTTGGTGATAGTTCCACACACTTTGCTTTTAGCTACTCTTAAAATTATGAGTAGTTTGTCTTTTATTAAAACAATTCTAGGTCAAGAGTGAAAAAATAGATTACTCACTGAGAAATTTTTCATACCATCAAAGAAAAACACAATGAATTGATCTCTGAATGTTGACTAAATTGTTTTCATTTATTTTAGTATCCTAATGGCCATCAGTTATGTTCCACAAGTCAGTGGTCCGATAGAATATCACCTATAAATCCAATTAAATCTAATACGTTATCAAAGTTGAAATCGTTGAAAGACAAAATAAATGAATGGAATTTACACGAATCATCATCTTCATTTGCAATAATTTTAACGGGTCTATCTAGTGGTTTAATATTTTTTGCCATATTAAGTACTATACTTGGTTGTATATTAAGACGCAGAAAACAACAACTCTGCAGATCTTTACTTGAATCAAACAATAATAATTTAGATGTACAAATATACAGAGATCTTAGTAAATCAATGTTTGGTGAAAATTTATCAACACCATCTAATTCCAGAACTAAATGTTATTCATCAAAAACTAACAATAATGGTCTATTGAATTCACAACCATCTAGTTATTTTTTAAATTTACATAATGAAGGATCACATAGTCCATCGAATTCAAACAATGGTATACCAATTATAAACTTTCCACATCCAGGTAGTGGTGGATTAACTGTTGAAATGAGTCAAATTTCTCCATTAGCTTTATCATCTAATCAATTAACAATATCTGATCTATCACCGGTAATCACCAGATCATTATATATGAATACAGGAAATAAATCAGAATCACCTACAAGAAGTGTGAATAGCAGTGAAGCATTAATTGGAAAAACTATCTATAATATTCATCCTAAACTTGGTACAACAAATATATTAGAGAATTTTAACCAACTTGTTCGTGATGGAACACTTGAAAGTATGTTGTTATGATTTTCAATGAAACAGTTTACTTCATATTTATGTTTTCTTATAATGATAAAATGATTTGAAACTTCTTCAATTGTTTAATAAAAAGAAATTTTATAAGAAAAAGTGGTTAGAGATTGAAAACGGTACGCTCAATAAGTTAAAATAACAAAAAGAAACTGGTCGAATAGCGTAAAACGTGTATTTAGCGCTTCAAATTGTTTATTTCTCAAGTTTTTTTTTAAAGATTATTCAGGTTTATTATGCAGCTATTTATTATTTTCAATAGCCTATAAAGTCTGAAAAATCAAATGTTTGTAGAGAGATTTGCTTGATGCTATTTGGAAATCATTGGAAACCAGAATGCATTAGAGATCTATTTTCTCCTGAATTGTGAGCCTCACTTTTGGCTGAGCTAAGGAGGACAATGGATGGTCGTTGAAGTTTATTTTGGATTGGTTTAAGTTGGAACTTTGGATTATTCGATTCCAAATTTATTTATTTATTTATTGATTTAAACATACAAATATTGATACAAAGGGGTACTGAATATATATGCGCCACACATCTCACTTGATTTGTATGTGGGCTGTGATACAGCTCACAAACTCTTTTTTTATGGTGAAATCCAGACCTGTTACAAATAAGGCGGGATACATGAATCCGAACTTCTAAACATTTATGTTTGATTTTTTGTCTACTTGTAAGTAGTATGAATAAATATATGAAAATATTTCCAATCTTATTATCATTATACATTATTACATTTTTAGTACATCGAATGCCTATACCAGTTGAACAGTTTCAAGAAGTGATTTATCAATCAAGAAATAATAATTATATTAGTTTCCAGCAAGAATTCCAAACAATTGAACAAATCTCATCAACACGATATATCAGTGCAGTACATTCTAATTTAGACATAAATAAATCGAAAAATCGATATCCAAATATTTTAGCATATGATTGTACACGAGTTAGCATTCAATCAAATTATCAACATCATTCTAATGCACAATATGGAATAGTTTCAGGATCGGATTATATAAATGCTAATTACATTGATGGTTATAGAAAACAAAAGGCATATATAGCAACTCAAGTAAGTCATTTATTCCCGGTTACTTTATTGTCAAATGTTTAATGTTTCTAAATAACGTGTTGTTACTTTTGCCCGGTTAATTAATCACATGATAAGATCATCAATTAGAACATGATTTACATGACCTTGACATGATGCCAAACCAATGATGCGTAAGCCAGTACAGACAGCCTAGAGTCAATTTTTGAATCCTTATTGATTATTATCACCCAGCTCTGTCCGTTTGAATCCAAATCATAGATCTCAGTTCCAACTGTACGAATCATATATTTCAGACGTATTTGGTCTATATACAAGCAAATAAGACTAAATCATACCATAAAATAGAAAATAACGGGCCAAAAGTGGCGGTGATCGTGAGAGACTGTAACTAATAAATTGGGAACAACGTAAGAGTAGTAAATCGTATAGTAATAGCCAATAGGTCAAATAAAAGCTTGTGATTAAGGAAATAGAAATGTATATAATATAGTTACTTAACAGTTATACAAGAAATATATATATATATATATATATATATATATATATATATATATATATACCCATAACTTAATCTTCTTTGAATCTGACAAAATATAAATTGGAAGTTTTGATAGAACTAAAAAAACTTTGACTGGCACTAATACATTGAAAGCATATTTAAGCATAGACCACTTTTGGATTGTATTCTACCACCGGTGGAATTTAGATGATCACTTTTAGAGATATTGACTAACTTATGTTAGACTAATCTACAATTACTGAGTGATATTTGTTCAGACTTTTAAGCGTTGATTTTATTGCTTCAATCAAGTTGGAATTCGGCAGTGGGCCTAAGCGTTTTGACATCACTTGTACTATGTTCAGATGTTGCATGGTTGAAGGTGATAGGTAGGAAAATAAGTTTAACGCAAGTTACATTCTAGTTTGCACTATCCACATATGCATATATGCATTCCTAAGCGAACTGATACTCACTTCTGGATTCCCACCCACGCTATCCTCATTCACATGTTGGGGAGCTTCCAGGAAGCCGTCCGTGTTTCGACCAACTTCCAGTAGGATTGAGATATTCAAAATCTAACTGAACGTTCAGTAATAATCAGTCTTATGAAACTGTAAATACCAACGTGTTCGACATCTGAAAGTATTGATCTAAATCTTATTTGAAAGCAAGAATTTGTACAGCTGAGAAATTCTAACAGACTATGTGAATTATCTTCGGTTCTTCGCCCAAGATGAAAATGAAATTTAAATCCCGTTGTACATCACATTATTAATTAAACTTCAACCAATCCACGAAGTTGTGCCACCGTATACCATTGACTTCAGTGAGCTGATATCTCACAACAGATCTGGTTGAACTCCACTGGTAACGACTTCTCACTAGAACTCCAGGAGTATCTATTGAAATCAGTCACTAGCGAGCAGATAATTATTATCAGAGGTGGTTTGTGGAGATTTTAGAAACTTCACAGATTGAAATCATGAGTGGATTGGTTGAAGTTAAACATTAAGACCGTTGGGTGCCAGCTCAGTTGTCTAGTTAGTTAAGCGCCTGGCGCGAGACTGGTAGGTCCTGGGTTCGAACCTCTTAGGGTGCGGGATTGTGAACGCGCACTGCTGAGGAGTCCCATACTAGGACGAGACGGCCGTTCAGTGCTTCCAGGTTTTCCATGGTGGTCTAGCTCCAATTGACTCATGATTTCAATCTGTGAAATCACTAAATATTAGTTTAATGGACTAAAGATTTGGCGTTTGTTCCAAGATATGAACGTACTGATTATGATCTTCCTGTTTTGAAGTCATCGATTCACACTACTAATGAATTCCAACAGTAAAATGTAAAATCTATTATACCTTTCTCGGTTTATGTTAGTTGTTTAACTAATTTTAACCTAGATTGTACACTACTATTACGTATATATATATATATATATATATATATATATATATATATATATATATATATCCGACCGTTGTTGCTACCTTGACGTGGTGGTCGGGCTTGCCTATCGTGATGAAGCAACCGAGCTACACTGGCTGGAACAACCGTTCCTCAAGGTCCTACCATGTCAGACAGGTCGGTTGAAGAGCGGTAAGACTAAAAGCAACAAACCTAAGGTCCGAAGGCGAAATCGTATTGCTGACTGTACAGAGGTGTGACAGCAGTAAGGTGTTTCCTTCAGACAACCAGCATGACAGCGATGCTGCCTTCCCACAAGGAGGGGTGGGGTTAGAAAAGGTCCACCCTAAAAATGTACATCTCGCCTTATCCCACGGATATCCATCTCCTGCGGTAAGGTCTCAACACAAAAATTACCCATAAAAAGGTCGTGTGTGACTGACCTCAAGCAGTTGTCCCTTGGGCACTGCGGTCACGCTCCCAGGTCACTAAGACCACCTCTAATCCAATTTCCTTTCCAGGTACCTCCAGAAGAACCCTTCCACGGTGTAGGCAACCGGGAAGTGATAACCACCCTCATACCTCTAACAACACTCAAGACCACTGTATCCATAATCAACCTCCCTCTTTAATTCCTATTATTCCTCCTACATCGACTTTCAACTCTAAACTTCCTTTTTCGGCTCCCTCCTCAAGTGTCACCACAGCCAACGATTCTAGTGCGCAAAACACTGTCCCAGGTCTACTGAAACCTCGCTCCAAACTACACATTGGAGCCTTCAACGTACGCACTCTATGTCAAATCGGTCAGCAGGCTTCCTTGGCTAAAACCCTAGAATCTCTTTCCATTGATGTATGCTGTGTCCCTGAAACACGCATACAGGATCCCAATGTGGTCATTCACTTGACCTCACCTCGGCAAAACGGAGAGCCAACGAGATACACCCTCCGTGTATCTAGTTACCCGACGGCCAGCTCTCGTGGACTGGCAGGAGTAGGGATAGCACTAAGCATGAAGGCGGAACAAGCACTGTTAGAGTGGATCCTCGTTAACAGTCGTCTATGTGCTGTTCGGCTAAACGGCTCCGTAAGAACTCGGAAGGATAGGGACACACGTCGTTGCCTTTTTGTCGTTTCTGCCTACGCTCCCACTAACTGCAGCTCAGATGATGTGAAAGATGAATTTTACAGAAAGCTTTCTGAACTTCTTCAGAAAGCTAAACGCTCAGACATAGTACTCGTAGGGGGTGAGTTTAATGCCCAGATAGGTAGTTCAAACCAAACAGAAAGGCATTTAGGTGGATATTTTAGCATTCCGGCACAGCGAACAGATTATGGTGATCGTCTGCTGCAACTGTGCTCAGACAATCGTTTATTTTTAGCAAACACAAATTTTAAGCATAAGGAAAGACGTCGTCTAACATGGCGACCCCTTACACCAAACCAATGATGGACTCAAATAGACGATATTGCCATCAATCGTCGTTGGAGAGGGTCGGTAGAAGATTGTCGCTCATTCTGGAGTACCTTCTTAGACTCCGACCATGCTCTAATACGGGCACGCATCTGCTTGCGCCTCATTGGACGCAAAAAAGCCTCAGTAAAAAGACCCATTAGAACTGAATTGAGTAACGAGAAAACCAAAAGTAGGTTCCAAGAACAACTGAGTTCACAATTAGGTAGTTCTGAAGACGAGGCTGACCCAGATGTTGCTTGGAAAGACATACAAGCAGCTGTGGAAACAGCAGTGACATCTATCAGTGATTTAAACAACAGGGTTACAAAGAACCAATGGATTTCCTCAACGTCTATTGCACTGATGGATTCTCGTAAACTCATCCCATTAGGCTCTGAACACGATGAAGAGCGACAACAAATCAGATCTAGGTTAAGCAAAAGTCTAAGGAATGACCGTGAGCAACGAAAGCAAAAGAGATGTAAACGGCGGCGGCTATAGGTAACACAAGACAGCTTTACAGACTAATAAAAGAAACTGGAATTAATAAGTCAAGTGTAAGTGAGATTATATCAGAAAAAGACGACACCCTCATCTGCTCTTAGTCCAGACGTTTAGAACGATGGGTGGAACATTTCAGCTGGTCTTCAGTCACTCTACAACTACCCTCCATTCCCAGACAGTGTGAATGGAACATTGAAGTAGGTCCCCCAAACTCTAGCAGAAGTCCAAAAGGCTATAGTTAATCTGAAACGAGGAAGGGCAGCTGGTTCAGATGGATTGGCTCCAGAGGTCTTTAAGGATGGTGGTCCAATTTTAGCGATTAGGTTGACTAATATTTTAGCTACGATCTGGGAGTTAGACGTTATTCCATCTAACTGGTCACAATCACTTATCGTCCCAATATATAAGAGAGGGTCAAAATCATCCTGTGACAACCATAGAGGGATTAGTTTAACTAATATAGTATCTAAAATACTAGCCTCGATAATTATCAGACGCCTAACTAAGACTCGTGAACTGCAAACACGAGAGAATAAAGCTGGCTTCAGACCTGGTCGTAGCTGCATCGGCCACATATTCACCATTCGTCAGATTCTAGAACATAGGCACACTTACCGGCGTCCGACAATGGTGGACTTTCTTGACTTGAAAGCAGCATTTGACTCGGTAGACCGCGAGATTCTGTGGCAGTGTCTGTCATTGAAAGGCGTACCTCAGAAGTACATAAGCCTTGTGAAGGCTCTTTACTCGAACACTACCAGTCGTGCCAGAGCTTATAGCGAACTGTCATCTACTTTTGCAAGCTCAAGTGGTGTCCGTCAAGGCTGTCCACTGTCTCCATTTTTGTTTAACTTCATCATAGACTTATTGATGGAAATAACATTCTCGTCTACTGAATTCTCGGGTATTGATCTCCTTCCAGGAGGTTCACTTATCGACGTCACCTGTGGTGAAGTCGAGGTCTCTTTCTACCAATAAATGGACGAGTATATCGCACGGCGGTTCGTTCTGTTCTACCTTACGGCTACGAAACGTGGCCATTAAGAGTAGAAGGTACCCGGATGTTACTAGTATTTGATCACAGATGTCTTAGAAATATTGCTCGCATCTGTTGGGATCACCGGACAAGTGATATTGAAGTTATACTCGGGGTAT